AGGCAAAGATGCCCGGGAAAAGGCCCCTGAATGCGACAGCCATCCCGAGTGCCAAAAGGGAATGGAAAACAATTACCCTCAACATAAAATTGGAAGTGTTAAGACGATTTGAAGTAGGTGAAAAGCTCAGCCAGATTGCAAAGGCTTTAGACCTTGCTGTCTCCACGGTGGCGACAATCCGAGATAACAAAGAAGAAATCAAACCGAATTCAAAAATAGCTGGCCCTCGGTTGACTCGCCATCGAAGTGCAGTCATGGAGACCATGGAGCGGCTGCTGTGTGCCTGGCTGGAAGACCAGAGCCAGCGGAACATGCCCCTGAGTGTCACCATGATTCAGGAGAAGGCCAAAAGTTTGTTTGATGACTTACAGCATGAACAAGGTGAAAGCTTCAAAAAGAAAATTTTAGTGCAAGTGAAGGGTAGTTTGTGAGATTCAAGGAGCGCCATTGTTTGTCCCACTTCAGGATGAACAGTGCGGCTCCCAGCAGCAAGGACACCTACCCGCAAATGCTGAAAAGCATCATCGAGGAAGGTGAGTACACCCCCCAGCAAGTTTTCAATGTAGATGAGACAGGGCTTTATTGGAAGAGAATGCCTGAAGGAACGTTTATGGCCGTGGAAGAAAAAGCTGAGCCAGGGTTTAAATCTTCCAAAGATCGCTTGATGCTGCTTCTTGCTGACAACACAGCTGGGGACTTCAAGTTGAAGCCCTTACTAGTGTACCGGTCAGAAAACCCCAAGGCTCTAGAGGGGTACTCCAAACCCAATTTACCTGTGATCTGGTGCTCAAACAAAAAGGCCTGGGCCACCAGGAGCATTTTCCATGATTGGTTCACATACTTTTTTTGCCCTGCTGTTGAAAAATACTGTGCCCAAAATAACCTACCCAACAAAGCATTGCTCATCCTAGACAATGCAGCATGCCACCCCATCAATTTGAGTGAACTGTCTGATAACATAAGAGTGGAATATCTTTATGACAGTATAGCTGACCTGATGCAGCCCATGGGTCAAGGTGTAGCCTCTACCTTCAAAGCTCATTATCTGAAAAGGACCTTTAAGTACATCCTAGAAGCAACAGATGGCAAGGATACAGTGATGATCAGGGAGTTTTGGAGAAACTACAACATCACGGATGCTGTGAACAACATCACAGTAGCTTGGGAGGCGCTCAGACCAGTGACAATGAACAGTGTGTGGAAAAAACTCTGGCCCCAGTGTGTTCAGTCCCAGGATGTTGCCTAATCCAATGACATCACACAGCTTCAATGCAACATTGTGTCCCTTGCCAAGACCGCGGCCTCTAAAACGGTTGTGGAAGCTGACATCAGCCAGCTGCTTGAGTCTCACAAGGACGCGCTGTCCAATGAGGAGCTGATGCAGCTGGAACAGGGGCTGGCAGAAGAGGAGGAGAGCAAAGACGCCCAGCCTGCCCTCCATCAGCTGACTACAGGAGAGCTCTTGGCAGCCTTGTTGCATTTGGAGGCTAGTTTACAGGTCCTCACCAGCAGCTGCCTCGATGATGAGTGGAAGCGGACAGTTTCCAGAGCAATCAATGATGCAATAAACTGCTACCAGGAATTGTACAATGAGAAGAAGCAGCGCTTGAAGCAACTGCCCTAGGTCATCTTCCAGTGCGGGTGACCAAAACCTGATCCAAGTAAAGCCAGAGGCAACAGGAGACCTCACAGATGAGCCCAGCCAAGCCCGTCCACTCCCAGACATTTAACATCCCGGAAGCCCTACTTCTGGTATTTTCATTTTGACACTTGAGGGTATCAAATTTGGTTATTAAAATTTTATTTAAATAAGTGCTTTAAGAAGAATGCATGCTAGAATACTCAGGTAAACATTTCTTTAAAAATAAAAAAAACTTTAATGTTTGGAAGGGAGACCAGCCCTTCTAGACATTAAAACACATTGTGACTGTGATTAAAGCAGTTTAGTTGTCAGAACTGGGGAGTAAATTAGAAAGTCCACAAATAAATGCAGAAAACAGTACAGGACAACTTGTTAATCACTTGGAAAAATCTGAAGCCAGATACACACCTTAGAGCATACAGAAGAATAAAACAGATTGGGGTGCTAAATATAAAAATTGAACCTTCCAAATCAGTTTGAACGGCTTCAAATCAATTTGTAGGAAGAGTACTACAAATCACACGCATGAATGTGTCTTTGACCTGGGTGTGGGGGAAGGTTTTCTGTGACTCAGAATGCAGATGAAATTAATTTTTTTTAAAAGATGGATCTATTTGATCCTACAAAAATGTAAACAATATGAAACCTTTCCACAGGAGGAAAACTGCAGACAAGGTCAAGGACAACTGACAGGATGGAATAAAATATTTCCAACATGTCTCATGTGACAGGTAATGTTCCTGATGTGTGAAGAACTCTTAAAGACGAAGAAAGCAAAAAGACCCAAAACCCAACAGAAAAGTAAACAGAACATATACTTCATAAATAAATTTAATCTTGAAAGAAAAGGAAATTTGACCTCATAGTTAGAGAAATACAAATTAAAGCTACACAGATACCATTCTCACTAATGAGACTGGCAAACTAAAGAGTACCACGCACATTCTGTGGGTGAGGCTGTGGGGTAACAGACACATTGACGTCGCTGGTGGGAATGCAAACTGGTGCAACCCTTACAGAGGGCACAAGACGCTCATTCAAAATAGGTGTGTTTAGATTTACAAGCATCACTTTTGGGACTGCACTCTAGAGAAAAGAAAATATGTGTGCCCAGATTATTTGCCACGGCATCATCGGTAATTGTGACAACGTGGGCACACCCTGAGTACTCCAATTTAGGAGAGCAGTGACTGCAATGGCAGTGACAGAACACAGCTGTGACAGCACAGGCACAGGCGGTGTCAGCAACAGCAGAACAAGGAAAAGCTCTGAACCAATGTAGACTGGTTTCCAGGATATACTATTAATTGAAAAAAAAGAAACATAAAGCAATATAGTGTGCTACCCTTTGTGAAAGAAAAAATGGAAATGTTCATGCATCTTACTCATTTGTGCAAAAAGAAACACGGGAGGAGAAACCAGAGACTCGGAACCGTTACCTACGCGAAGGGGACGAAAAGCGTCCCAGGGCTGGGGCAGGAGGAGGACACCTGAGTTTGCCTTCTATACAGTTCTGGCTTTGGGGACCATGTTAACGTCACAAACAATGATAGGGAAATGAAATGAAATGAAATGTGTGAGCGATATTTCACATTAATTACACACCTACAGTGACGGGGGGGGAGATATATACCCAAGTAAATTTTGAGCGATGTATGAACCATAGTTTGACTATATGCCGTCAGGGTATAGACAAAAAGGGACTCTGAACAATGATTAAGCTCTAGATGGTAAACTTCTTTTTCCCAGAAGCAGAGGCTAGTAATCCTGAAAGTACTTTCTGCATATTCCGGGGTTGAGCAAATAAATACATTAAAGCTAATGGGGCCAGGTTTCTCACTTTGGAGGAGTTACAAATATGAAAGTGGTGGTGTGGGGGTGAAAGTTGTGGCATTTGGAAATGGGACTGTCTGAATTTGTGGGGTTTAGTGTTTATCATCAAATAGAGAGACAGGTAGGGAAGGCTGTTTCCCAGCCCTGTCTGTTGAAAGGACCAAGAAGCAGTGAGAGTCCAGTGGCCATGAGCACACCCAGTGACCACCACTTGTTTCCAGAACACCATTTTCCATCGAAAGGTCCGAGGGCTCCTTGGAGAAGTGGATGGTTTCAGGGCTGGGACTGGAGAGGACAGGATATGCCCGAAACATCTTGCTATGCCAGGAAGTAAATGAGAACCTGAAGAATGACGGGAACAGGTCGAAGGTCATAGAAGCAGATGGGGCACAGTCAGCGCCTCCAGGAGCCAGCCCGGTGCCGCAGTGAGGACAGCAGCATCGCCTCCGGAAGTCCCACCAAAAGCGCAAACCCCAGGTCCAATCAGAAAAACCCACACTGAAGGACATTCCCCAAAATAAGTAGCCTGTGCCCTTCTAAACGGTGGTGCCACGCACCCTCCAGATTCAAGAAAGAGACCTGACAGCTGTGTGGCAAAACCCAAATGAGGCTTGTAAGTTTTCCTGTGCCATGTGTTAGCTTCCTGACGTCTTTTGATAATTGCCCTGGGGCCATGTGAGATAATGCCCTTGTTTGGGAAGAATACACACAAATATCAAGAGGCAAAGTGGCATCGTGTCCGCAAGCCACTGTGAGATGATTCAGAGAAAAAGGCACGTGTGGAGCAAGAATAAAGCAGATGTGGGGCAAACGACTGTTTAGAGCATCCAGGAGACAGGCACATAGGCATGTTTTTGCAATGTTTCTGTAAGTCCAAGTGTGTCAAAATAAAAATGTTAAAATCCTATTTCATAACCTGAAAGGGGAGGGAGGGTAAAGACCACACCCTCCCCTGGTATCCAAAGTAGAGCTGCACCTATTTACAGCTGAGGCTCAGCCGCAAGCTCTGGGGCAGGGCTGCCTATCTGACAGCCACTGCGTGCAGACGAGGCACAGTCGCCTAGCCGAGACTCCCGAGACTTCCTGTGTCATAGTCCCTTCGGGATCCTTGTCGAATCCACAGATCATTTCTCTGTAGAGAAATGTACATGTGCAGAAGTTTGGATGTAACTAGCGTTGGGGATTTATGGTCTCCCAATGTCCAAGGGTTACTGGCATGGCCTTGAGGTTCAGTGTCGGCCCTTGCAGTGCTCTAGCAAACTGCAGCGGGTACCAGACCTGTGACTTTCTCATTGCCACACTGGCCAATGAGGCGGTTCTACCACAAGGACTCTAGGAGTGAGGCATCGCTTCTGCTTCCCGAGCATTCTCTGTGTGCCCCGCCCAGTGCTCCCGGCCTCCCAGAACCCACACAACCCGTGAGATGCCGTCTGCACCTTCACCCACCTCACAGAAGATACGTCTGCACACCTCAGGCGTGTGTCTGACACCCCCGCCTCGTCCCCCATTTCACCACACAGCAGAGTCTGGATTACACAGATTTAATGAGACAGTGGCTACGACCTCGTCCCAGCTGGGTGCCCTTCACTGCTCCTCTGGGCGGTGCAAACCAGCTTCTCAGTGGGTTTTGTTCTGTTGCGTGGACTCACACCACCTGTGATTCTGTCTGGAGACTTTGTCATCCAGAGGTGTAGGTGGGGAAGAGGGGCTGAGGCAGGAGGTAATTGAGGGAACTTTAAAAAAAGGGGGGGGCCAGCTCGGTGGGACAAACGCCAGCATGCTAACATTTTCTCTGGACCCTGACTGTAACACGGGAAACTCAGGGATGGCTAACGCCCCCAAGACAACAATGTGTGGCCATGAAAACGTGCAGGTCAGAGGCACCTGCCCTTACACCCTCTGCAACCCTAGAGGAGCGGTGGGCCGTGCACCTGTCGTTGACTCCACTCCTCACCGTCACACTGAGGCAGGTCAGAGCAGACAGTAAGAGGGTCACCCAAAGCCACTACACGACACTGTCTTCAGGGCCCCTTGCATCAGCCAGCAAGCTGAGCTGCCCCTTCTGCTGGCTAGACCTCTTCCTGTGGGCTTCCCAGTCAGAGGTGAGGGGCACCCCGGTGGCTGTGTCCCCCGCCCCACCTGTGTGAAGCAGCTGAGCACAGTGCAGCCAGGGAAGCGTCTTCCCTCAGGCCTTCCCGACAGCGGCAGGGTCTCTGACACACGGGCCTCCCTGCAGATGTCGGGTTGGTGCAGCTCCCCCACTGAAGAGCAGGTGCTGGGGCCGACGCACCCCCCGCCTGTCTTCCTTCATGGGCTCTAGGCTTCCTGCCTGGAGCTCCCTGCAGCCAGTACTCCCAGCACCTGACCTCAGGCCCCCCAGAAAAGGCCCCTGGCTGGTGGTCTCCAGGCTGTCCAGGTTCCTCCACAGGCCCTGTAGTGGGGCAAATCTGGTCCCCAGACATGCCACCAAGCCTGGTGTAACCAGTCCTCTTGCTTAACCTGGAGTCTCCCCCTCTCCACACCTAGAGGCAGGACTCCCAGCCAGCCGCTCAGAGCAGCAGGGTGAGCTGGACGAGGCTAAGTCGGGAGCTGTAGCCAGTCCACCAGAAGAGAGCCCCATGGCCCCCTTCCCTCTGTGTGGTGCAGAAAGGCCCTGGACTGGCCCTGCCCCTCAATTCCCAGTCTCCAGGAAATCTCACCTACTGGAGAGAACCGTGGAGACAGGACCCGGGTCCTTGGGGGACAGCTGTGAGGGGCCCCATCCAAGAACAACCAGAAGATTGCAAAGGGACAAGGGGATGGGGGATGAGAGCCTCCAGGTAGATCCCAAACCATCCCCTGCACATCAACCTTAGGCCCGGGCTGGGGGCGTGCAGCCGCCATCCTCAGGCGAGAGTCTTGTCAGCCAATCCCCTGAGGCCAACCAGGGTTGGCAAGGTGGCTGCTACCCTGCTGCTTAAGCTCCAAAGGCATGGGGCCCTCTTCACCACAGGGAAGAAGAGAAGCTGCCCACGCCCCTGCCCAGGGGGCCCTGCAGCAACACACCCAGGAAACAGCCAGGCACAGCCCCAAGTCCCAGCAAGTTCCCAGGCACGATGGTCCCTGTGGCGCTTACGCCCCTCAGGCCCAGCATGGGGAGAGGTCCAGGGGCTGCACCCCAGGGGTCTCCAGAGCACAGGAAACACCTTGGCATTGGCCATGACCAGGAAGGTGGGCTCCAGACAGGCCCAGGAGGGTGCCCAATGGCTCTAGGCGTCCACATCTGGACCGGGCTCCTGGAAGAGAGACTGCTTCCGCAGGGTGAGCCGGGCACACTTGGGGCAGGTGGTGGAGTTGTCGTAGTAGCAGTCCCTGGGGGTTGGGGACAGGGAGACGGGGTCAGACCCCAGGGATGGGGCCCCACAGGGCACAGCAGCGGATACCATCTGTCACACAGCATGCAAACTGCTAGCTCCAGGAAGTTCAGTTTCAACACTAGTCCCTTCTGAAACAGCAGTCCCAGCTCTGTGCAGCTATGACGTCAGCTGCTGCTGTGACCAACAGCCAGCAGCTGGCAAAACCAGTATGGCAGAAATGGGGGGCGCTGTCCCATCTGAGGCCACTGTGAGGCGCTGTGCAGGGCTCAGGAAGTGGACACATGTTATTAGTAATCATGCTTATTAAAGGGCTAAAATATTTTCCTTCCAATTTATATGTATTATTTTACCAAACATTCAGGCAGTCTTCATAAAAGTTTAAGTTATTCAATGTTAATAAACAAAATGTTACGGGTTTTCTTAGCCTGGAGAAGTCTGAAAAAAAATCACTTGGACACCGGAAGTGCCAGGAACTAGAAGGTTTAGGGAACCCTGGGGGCCAACCCCAGTCCTGGGGACAAGGGGAGCAGATGGGACTCGGGGCTCACACCGCGGCCTCCCCAGCCTCACAGGTGGGACGTGCAGTTCGGTCACGTCAGGCCTCACTCCATATCTCAGGGTCAATGTGAAGGGCTTTGAACATGAGGCAGCAAAGACCAAGCCCTCAGTGTCTCCCTCCCTGTCCCTGACCTTGTGGCCTCAGGGTGGGTCGGGGCCGCACCCACCTGTGGAAGACGGCGGAGCAGTCCCGGCACACGGACGTGTGGCTGTCGAAGGGGAACAGCACGTCGCCCTCTCTGCAGAGCTCACACACGAAGCCCTTGGCTTGGCACCGCTGGGGGTGGGGTGGGGCCGTCAGCACTGCTCCCCAGAGCACGTGGCCCCAACACTTCGCCCTCCCCACCCCGGGAGCTGGGCGAGGAGAGACACCAGGTCCACCGCGGGGCGCCCACCTCGCAGTCCAGCTTGATGTGCTTGGCGAAGAGCGTGTGGGTCTCAGTGAGCGAGCAGCCCAGGCGGCCGGTGTGGGCATCCAGCAGGTCCTGAACCGAGTACATCTCATCGTTCTCCACGAAGTGCTGCCGGTCCTGGAGCTGCGGGTCCAGCAGCGGTAACTCCAAGCCCAGGGAGGCCCCTTTCCACGCCCCTCCCATCCCTGCCCACCCACCGTCCAGGCCCTGGGTGCTTGTAGAGGAAACAGGTTCAGCCCCTCGAGCCACACAGGCCCCAGGGACAACCCACCTCTGCCTGGCACATGGCTCTTCCTCCCAGACCCGCCCCCAACATTCCCATCCCCTTCTCTGCCTCATTCTGTCCACAGACCTCACCCACCTGTGAACAGCTGGTCTTTCTGGCCTTCCCCATCTGAAGGGCAGCCCTGAGATGAGGGCAAGGGCCTTGTTTGGTTCACTGCCCCCAGAGGCCACACAGTATATTTACTCCCCCAGTGGGCGCTCAGTGAGCGCAGGCTGCAGGAATACACAGGGTAAGCCTGTGCCTGGTCCTTGCCATGCAGAGTCACAGAGAGGCTGCAGGGACAATGCCCGCCTCTCTCGGTGCCCCCTCAGGAGATAATCAGAGAACACTTTTTGGGCAGGCCTGTTTGCTAACATAGACCTGGAGTTGCCTGGGACAATGCAGAAGACCCCCAGCTAAAGGCACAGTGTGGCGTGCCCTGGTCTGCCTGACCGCGGCCCACCGCCCCTCCCCTGACGCTGCGTGGGCAGGCTGACCTGCAGGAGCAGGCGCGCTTCCATGGCCTCCTTGCAGGTGATGAAGTATGGCTTCATGAGCAGGATGTCCTGGCGCAGCTTCTGCAGAGAAGACAGGCAGGTGGGCCTCCTGGGCCCGGGCGGGGGCTGCCCCGGGCACTTCAGTGTGGCCTCTGTAGAGGGTCAGCTCCTCTTACACTCTGAGCCAGAACCTTCACACCAGCAGGAAGGGCCCAGGTCTGAGGGTTCCAGCCAATCTCAAGTTCAAAACACAGCTTCCAGGCCAGGCAGGACTCTGAGGCTCTACCGCCCCATGTCTGAGAAGGGCACAGAGCCCCGTGCAGCCCAAGGGACCTTGGCAAACACATAGGCTCCGCCTCGTAGCCCGCCCTTTAAATGGAATCCAGTCCCTTCTGACCACTCATGGGAAACTGCTCGCCACTGCCCCACAGGCCACGAGTGGGCATCCAGGAATTCAAAGGCAGAGTATGAAAATGTCTCAATAATGTCTACAGCTTACGTTGAAATTATCTTCTGGGTATATTGGGTTAAATAAGATATATTATTCAAAATAACTTTACCTGCTTCTTTTAACTTTTTTAATGTAGCTACTAGAACTTTTCAAATTTCCTCTGACCTGGCATCATATTGAGGCCGGACGTTGCTCCGGCGCTTTCAGTCCACAGGTGAGCCAGGGGCCATAATCTGAGCAGGTGGGTCCTCCCCTCAGTTCCCACAACCCACGCCCCGCTCCCCGCTCCCCTCGCGAGAAGCAAGGTCCACGCCTTACCCGAATCTCCACCAGCTCCTCCACGTAGCTGAACAGCAGAGGGTTGATCTCCCGGAGCCTGAGCACCGGCCGTGACATCATCAGCGCCAGGTAGCGCATGCTACAGCGGGACACCTGGGAGCAGCGGAAGGCGTGGCCGCTCCAGCACTGCACCCCCCCCCGTCCCTGCCCCTGGCCACGCCCCATCCCCCCTCCTCCGCATGGCCACGCCCTCAACCCACATTCCCGGCTCCTGACCTCACCTTGCGCGGCTCGAAGTCCCAGTTGTGCACCACGCGCGCAGGGATGATGGCCAGGTCGTTCCAGTGGCAGTGGCTGCAGTAGTACTGGCCCGTGTAGTCACACTGCCGAGCCTCGCTGGGCACGCCTCCTGCGGACCGGGCGGGGCGTTACAAAGTCGGGGCCGCTCTGAGGGTCCCAGCCACACATGCAGGCGTCTTCTGCGCCCCATGGTGCTGTCCCGTCGCCCAGCTGGGCCCATGGCACACAGAGAAAGAGCCCACAGAGTCCAGGGGTCCACCCTGCAAACCTGACCGGGTTAGGGCGCCTCACTGCCTGGTTTTCTCACCAGTAAGATGGGACAGTAATAGGACCACTTCCAGGACTGCTGAGGGGACCCCATGAATTCACATCCTAAATCTCTAGGGCCTGACGCACAGCAGTGCGTGACTACTGCGGGGTTCTCCGAGTCCCTGTCTGGGCGCACTGTCGATACCAGCAGGGCCGCAAAACGGTGCTCCTTGGTGACCTGGGCCGGACCACGGGCTGCTGGCAAGCGCTAAAAAGGTGTCATAGCAGCCTCTCGTCACTCCCCCGGGAAAGGGAGACGTGTCTGCAGGAGCCACGCTGGTCTTGGCTGCCTGACTTACCCAGTGTCCTCACGCCACTGTTGGCCTGTCCCCGTGCCCAGAACATCCGCCCTCCGCCCGCACTCACGCAGAGAGATGGGCGCACGGCACTCGGCGCAGCGGTAATCCTGGCTGTCCAGCCCCGCCTCCGGGCAGATGTTCAGCTCGTACTCCGCTTGGTGGCTGACCTTGGAGCGCACGCAGGGCTTGGAGATGAGGTTCAAGCACTTGCTGTGACAGCGGTAGTAACACCCTGGGGCGGTGTGGGGCGCCAACAGTGCGACACTTAGAAGCGGGGGCGGTAGCCCAGGCTGACTTTCAGCTGCCAGCACCCTCAGGGGGGCTACTCCAATTTCCAGACCAAAGGTCACTCGGTCCCTATCCTGAGCCTTACCCTGAAGTCATGAGCAGACTTGGCCCTAGAACTCCAGATTCAAAAGCCCACCTGACATCCCCACCTGGACACATAAAGGCTGTCCCACCCGAGTGTCAGAGTGGAGCTCTGGCTCTTCCTTTCCACGCCCAGCCCAGACAGGCTTCCCATCTCAGATCTCAGCCAGCCGTCGTTCCACCTCCTGAGGCTGAAAACCCTGAAGTCATCCCCACTCCTCAGTCCTTCTGCTTGTTCTCCCCCAAGTGGGCACACATCTCTCCCAACACCCACCCTGGTCAGAGTGCCTGTCCCTCTCCCACCACCCTGGAGTCCCTCCTTCCTTCCATGCTCAACGCAGCAGACAGACTGACCCTGTTCCAACCCGAGTGTGTGCAGCACCTGCCAAGGCCTCTCAGACACCATGGTCCAGCCACCTGCTCTCTGCTCCTCGAGGACACCACTCGCAGTGACCACAGGGCCTTTGCACAGTAGTCACCTCCCCACAGGAACCTTCTTCCCCAGACTCACACCTGGCTTGCTCCCTGACCTCCAAGTTTTTCCTTAAATGTCACTTGATGCCTTTTCATTCCCCCTAAAGCCACACCCACCCGACTGCCAGGCAGGTGCAGTTCCCTCTCCCCATTTTTCATCTGCTGCATCATACAACACACCACGTCCTTCACTGGTTATTTCTCGTCCAGTGGAGGACGCGCTCTCTCTGCACTGCCTCCTGTGGCTACTGAGCACCTGTAACATGGATAGTGCAACTTAGAAACTAAATGTCTAGTTTAACTTATATAATTTAAGAAGGCGCGAGTTGGGTCTTTCGTCCCTTGCACACACCCAGGGCTCAGTGAATGCCCCACAGTCAATAATGCCCCTAACCACAGCCCAGACACGCAGCAGACCCATGAGCACCCTGCCCCGCGATGGGCACCCGCCCGCCCACCCGCAGGGCCCGGTCTGGGTCTGGGCCCACCTGTACAGGTGTACCAGGTCTGAATGAGCCCCCAGATGATGGCGTTGCATTTGTCACACGTCTGCTTCACACTCTTGCTCTTCTCCTTGTAGAAGCGGTGCTCCAGGAGGACTCGGATATTGGGTTCGTCTTCATTGGGGTCCTGAAGAGAGGCCCAGGGGCCACTGAAGCTCCTCTCCCCTCACACAAGCCCCTCGACTTACCTCTCCCAGGCATCATTTGTGATGGATGAGGAGTCTCTTCCAATGTCAAGGGCCTTTGCTCTCTAGCGATGGAACACCCAGCAGTCACCCAGGCCTGGGTCACCTGTCCATACCCCTTGCAGCCAGGTGCTGCCTGCTGCAGCCAAGGGCTTGTGAGCAGGGGGGACATGACCTTCGTCCCTTGTTTTCTGCTGGCTAAGTGCAAACCTAGGTGGGGACTCGGGCCACCTTGGAACCCCCCCCAGGGACTGACTGTCACAGCCAGTCAGAAAGGGAGGACCCGGGGTCCCCATCACCACATGGGCCCTGGGCCACCCATGCATTTCTATGTGAATAAAGTGACATAGCTCATTCCTTTCAGCCACTGTATCTTGGAGCCTTTGTTGCCACAGCCTTGACTACATCTCGGTGAGTATAAACTCCCAGGGACTCGTGGGCCAGCGCAGGGGCACGGTGGTGGCTGAGACAGATGCGCAGACTCCAGGACCACATTACATACACACGTGGCTTTAGCTGCTGGGACCCACCACCCCCCAATCAGAGTCATGTGGTTCAAGGTACAAATCACCTCACTCATTTGCTGCAGCGGGTGGGCGCCTGATCCAGGACTGGCCAGATAAGGTCAGGCTGATCGAGAAGCCCAGCTCGCTTCCTGCCTTTCTGGGCAGCCCCTGCCTCAGCCCCTGGGAGGGAGCCGGGGGCCACCCCAGGCCTCCAGGCCTCCACACTCTGGCTCAGCTCTGGCTGCCTCCATGGTAGGCCGAGTCTGCACGCACCTTCAGCTCCTGGAGCTTCAGCCGGAGGTGGATGAGCCTCACGACGGCGTCCTTCTGCCGCTCGGAGTGCTCGGGCAGCTCCAGGATCAGCTGCTTGCACTCCTCGATGGCCTGCTGCAGCTGCTGGACGTCGGAGGCCAGGAACAGGCCCTGGGGGGCGGGGCACACAAGTCAGATGCCCGCCCCATGCCCCTTGGGCCCAGGCCATGCCCGTCCTAGGGGACTGCTAGGCCCAGAGCAGACCTCCCGGCCTCCACTTGCCCAGAAGGGGTCAAGAACTTACTCGAGGCCCAGGGAAGTTAGCAGCCCAGGTAGGAAGCACCCACACCACCCGCCCCCAAGCTGGACCACCTACCCACAGGTCTCTGAAGATTTAATTCAGGATAGTTTTCAAAACACCACTTCCTTCTTTTGGCATTCCAGTTGCCTTTCTGGCCACCCTATTTTGCTAAAGCTGGGGAAGTGACACTTGCTTATCATCAAGCAGAGGAAGTGGCCTCCAGCTTTATCGCCAGGCCCAGAGACACCCCAGGCACCCACACACCCCTGGCTCAGCACCTCCCCGTGACCCAGCAAAGCCTGCAGCGACTCAGAGCAGTGCGGCCACTGGGGAAGGGCGACTGGTCAGGTGTGAGCGCTGGGGCTGGGGCTGCCCAGGAGCCAGGCGGGGGGAGGCAAAGCCCCTCCTTTGTGTGGCTCACAGAGGGGGCCTGGAAAACGTCATCATGAAGATACAAAGCACGTGAATGAAACACGTATGGGCACCGGCAAAGCTTAAAGCCATGTAGTGCGTGGAAAGTTCCTTAGGACCTGGGGCTTTGAGGTGAATCTTTTTTGATTGGTGTTACATTCGAGTGTTACTATCATACTTCTCTCAAAAGTTAGAGGCCATTTGCATAAAATAAAAATATTTTCAAACTTTTTGTTTAAAAATCAGTAGAGCCCTTTTTTTTTTTTTAAATTTTAAATAAAGTTTTCATGCAACAAAATGTAGACCAGACCGAACCGTGGCCCTGCCTGGCTGAGTGCGGGTACATGGCGGGCGGTAGGCTCCCTCTCTCCCTCCCTGACCCTCACCCAGCAGCGTGTCCACAGCACCCCAGACACGGTCAGTCCTCACATTTGCTTCATAGGAACATGGAGCTCGGGGACAGGAACGGCCCTACCTGGGAAGAGCAGACCCAGCTCCCAAACCTAGGCCCAGCCATCCCCACCGGCTCAGACTGGCTTGGGTGGGGTGTCTGGTGTCCAGTGGGCCTCAGATTGAGGAGCCCTGGCTGCGATGGACACAGTCCCTCCGCCTGAGAGTGGGGGGCCTAGGGAATGCCTGGGTCCTCACACCTCGGGTGCCCTGAACCTTACCACGGGGCGGGAGAAGTGGTCCTCGGCCAGCCCAAGGTCCATCACACGCTCGGCACACCGGAACTCCGGCTCCCCCGGGGGCGGCTCAGGCAGGCTCTCTGGAGCAGGTGCGGTGCAGGCGTGAAGGGCAACAGAGAGAAAGAAGTCGGTCCACCTTCTCCCCAGGGCCGGGCCAGGCGGCTGGGGGGTCAGAAGGGCCCCTGGGGATTCAGGGAGCCCACAGCGGGTGCCGAGGGGAGCCTGGCCCTGCCCGGGCATCTGCCATTTCTAAGGGAATGTGTGGGGAGAAGGGAGTGGCCAGCATGGTGCCCAGCTCTGGGGCAAAGCCAGCACCTTCCACCATAGAAACTGGGAAGGGGGTCGGGTGCCAGTATGAGGGGTCACGCTGCCCACCAGTTCCCCGGCGCCGGCACCCACCTTCAGAAGCAATGTCTGGGGCCTCCTCAGTGGCCCGCTGCTCATGCTGCCTCGGCCCGAGCTGCTTGTTGAAGGGATTGAGGTGGGCCTGCCGGAACCGGGCCAGCTTCTCATCGTATTCCATAGCATCCCACCTGCAGGTCAGATGAGGCAGGGGCAGCCGTGAGTGGCCAGCTCCCGGCTCACTGCGTCCTGTCCCCGCTGTTTCAGGGGCTCTCAGGGGGCAAGCCTGGCCTCCTCAGGGGCGTCTGAGCGCAGGCCCGCACCCCACGGCCTCCATCCTCAGCCTCTCCCCAAAGCAGTCAGCCGCTCACCAGGCCCTCTGGGTGGTGTCCCCTCAGGAAGACAGATGACATCTAACACATGTGCAGATGAGACGGGCAGGGCAGGAGGAGGACCTGAGCCCCTGGCAGACACCATCCCAGCACAGTCCTGGGTTCCTATGCAGCTCCGGTCCAGCCCTGCCCTCGCTGTCCACCTCTCGCTGTCCACCCCACACTGTCTGCTGAGAAGGCTCGGCTGCCCTCTTGACATGCAGCTGCCAGAACTCAGTTCCTCAGTCCTGGCCCCCACACCACGGTACTCCTTTCGGTCAGAGCATCCCAAACTCACAGCCCTGAGCCCAACAGTCCGTGATGATCACCAGAGAGCGCAGTGCTGGGCACTCCAGACCCGGGCCCTTCCCAGGGCCTCGTGGACTCCCCATGCTGGCCAGCAGCTCACCGGCCTGGTTCCCATGGACTCGACCCGTAGCCTGAGTCAGGGCGTGGCCTCCCACCCCTGGGTCTTAGGCAACGCAGGAAGTGCCTACCTCACTGCCTGGCACCGCTCCCCTCCCCAGAGCCCAGCAAACTGGAACACAGAAGGGCAGCTGATGTGAGAGGTGGGGGTTTCGGCTGGGGGCAGTTCCCACCCCGGGCCCTCCCGCCTAACCAGCTGGGCCACATTCCTCAGCCTCCAGGCTGAAATGAGTCTGTAGGAAGCAGAAGAGATTTTTTAAAGCTTGGTAGTAAGTTTCTGGGTCTGTTCTGGGTTATGTCTTCTCTACACCCACTTACAGTCTGAAATAATCCATAATTATTACAAAAGGCAACCCCCTGGCTCTTATCTGCCACCACCCCCACCCCACTGCCAAGAAAGCAGACACCAGCAGGAACAACCCTACCCCAGCTCCCTGCCGGCCGCCCTGCACTGGTAGGAACCCCCGCACCACCTTCAGGACCCATTCTCCCTGTCTGACACCTGTGGGTGGGGCTGGGGGCTGGGAGGTCCCATCAGGCAGAACCAGGCACCCACAGACTGGCTGCCCCCAGGTCAGGACGGGAGGACACAGGTGCCATGGGCACCTCGCACAGGGTGTCGGGCCCTGATGCCCAGCGACCCCTGCCCCCAGCGGCCCTGGTACTCACTAACCCTCCTCCCGAGCGCTGACAGTCTTTGTTGGTCGGACTTTAATCAGGCCCCTGAGCCTCCCCCTGGGCCCTCTCGGCCCTTCCTTGTGAAACCCAGTTTCAGCAAACTTGGTGCTGAGCCAGCCCAGCAGGAGTCCCCCACCCTGACATCTGATTGCCCCCCTGTTTGATGGGGTCCCTCATCCTCCACCCCAGGTGTCTGATCATCCTGCCACACCTTCAGCAAAGATCCCCTTCGGCCCCTGCAGCCAGAATCCCCCCAACTCGTGACATTTCCTCTTAGCGTTTTTTCACCCACTGACCCGTCCTGCCCTTGGCTATTAATCCAGGTGGCCCATGACATTTTGGAGTCAAGCACAGTTCCACACAAAGGTTTCTTAACCATACGTCAATAATCCTGGACAAATCTGCCTTAGAAACTGCCCAGTTCTGGTTCTGTTTCGACAGGGAGGGCCCTGGTTTTCACCTTCTCACTTGATCTCCCAGCAGCTAGACGCGGTCACGTACTGTACTCTGACCAATGGGATGCAAACAAAGATCTCCTGACACATCTGAGAATTGATCTTTTTTAAAATTTTTTTCTTTTTTTATAGATTTCATTTATTTATCTTTAGAGGGTAAGGGAAGGAGAGAGGGAGAGAAACATCAATGTATGGTTGCCTCCTGTGCATCCCCCGCTGGGAACTGGCCTGCAACCCAGGCATGTGCCCTGACTGGGAATCGAACCAAGGTTGTTTGGTTTGCAGGCCCTCACTCAATCCACTGAGCTACACCAGCCAGGGCTGGGAATTGTTTCTAAAAGGAGAAACTGCCCCTTCCAGCCCCTTGTTGGCTGGGGTGCAGATGCACTGGACGGAGCTGGAGCAGCCCCCTTGGGCTGAAACAGAGAAGCCCCACCTTGCTCACCCCTTGCTCATTTAAATGAGAAAAAAAAAACTTCTGTTTAAACTACAGTTATGGGGGGGTGACTTCTGGCTCTCGCAGCCAAAACATTCTAATTGATCAGCCCAGACCAATTTATGGCAATAAGTCAGATTAGCCCTTTCCAATGTGGTCTTAGGCAAATGCCTAAGCTTTTCTTGGATTTTGACTTCTCATGTTTTAAATGGGGATAATAATAGCACCAACTGTACAGTGTTATTATTAAAACTAAATTAGCCCAGGCTGGTGTGGCTCAGTGGATTGAGCACCAGGCTGTGAACCTAAGAACCACTGGTTCAATTCCTAGTCAGGGCACATGCCTGGGCTGCAGGCCAGGTCCCCAGTTGCGGACATGTGAGATAGATATATCTCACAACCAATGAATGTATCTCTTAAACATTGATGTTTCTTTCCCTCCCTTACTCCCTCCCTCAAAATAAATAAATAAAATATTTTTTAAACATTACATTAGTTAATGCTAATACAAAGTTCTGAGCACTCCAGTCAGCACATCATAAGTATTCAATAAATTCTGGGTAGAACGTATGATTATCATGGCTACTCTTATTGTTGTGAATCAGACAGACCCGACTTAAACTCTGCCTCTCCCAGGGTGACCCCACTTCTCGTCCGTAAACAAGGCAGGCCTCCTGGGGCACGTGAAAGGGCCACGTGCTTGTCCCTGGCAGTGCAGCCACGGCTCAGAGCTGCTGCTGAGCAAACGGTCACTCTCATCACAGGATGACCAGCCCACCCCCGAGTCTCCTCCTGGGAACCTCGCAGGCAGAGGAGCTGGGGGACAGGGGCACCTCAGCTCTTCCCAACAGCTGCTGTCCAGCTATGGGCTCCTGTGGGCAGTGCAGCCCCAGGCGCTGCACAAATGAGTGGGGTTACCTGGACTCTCTCAGCCTCAGTTTCTCTCCTGCTAAGTCAGGGCATCATATTTCCCTCGGGGCTGGGGAGGGCAGACAGATGAAGTTCTCACAAAAGGGGCCAGGGAATGCCAGGCACCCCTGCCACCCCATCAGCTTCATCCCACAGAGAGCTCAGCACCCAAAACCCAGGTTTGGCCTCACAGCAGAATAGTCAGGAAGGCAGAGGCTGAGAAGAATCAAGAAAATCAGCTACCCCACCCTCCACCCTCCTCCAGAGGCTGCCCCCTCATGCGGAGGGGGCTCCTTGACTTAGCAGTGGAAGGAAACCCATGTGAATAAAGTCCAGAGCTTAGGGGCAGGGCACGAGCTGCGTGGCCGAGGGACCTTGGGCTGAGCTCAGATGCCCTCACCACGATCCAACATGTCCTGCCTGAGGCTGGGACTCCAAGGGGTCCTGTGATCACCACAGCCACCACCAGAGGTCCCTAGAATTCTCCCTGGAGTGGGAAGGGGAGACCACACATACTGTCTGTTCATACCCTGAAGGAGGCCTGCCAGGACCCTGCCAGGACCAGGAACTGGGTTACTGTCCCTTTAAGGATTGTTTGTCACTAAAGCCTGGCAGGGTGGACACTGCTGGCCTAAGGGAACCAGCCACTCCCAAACGGTCCCTCCCCCACCTTCACCCACAAGAGCAACAGGCAGACACTCTGGGGACCCTCTCTGGGGACTAACGTGCTGACAGAGAGGCAGGTCTGTTCCACCACCCCACCCATTTCACAGGTGAGGAAACAGACTCAGCGACCCAGCATCCGTGGAGGCAGGCACAGCTATGAGGGTCCCCAAGGGACTCACGAACCCCACAGAAAACAAGGGTTGACGGCAAGAAGCGGTGACAATGTCACTTGGGAGAGCTCTTCCCCGCCTGGAGTTGTTAAACCCTGCCCCATCGGAGTGGGGTTACAACTGAGGCCACATACACCCCTGCGCCCAAGTGAAGACTGTAAGTGGCCATCCCGACCCCGCAGGTCTGAACCTTCCTGGGCGCGGGCGGGGCCTTGGGCAGATCCCTGACCCCTTGAGTCCTCGGTGACCGCGTCGGGAAAAGGGCTGCCCGAGCTCCGGGGCGCGGCAAGCTGTGTGCACCCAAGAGCCGGGGTCCCCGGTTTCCTCCACCCCAGGCACCCCCTGCCCTCAGGGACCCGCCTAGGCTCCCCCTCCGCAGCTCACCTGACCGCCGCCGCCCTGGCTACATTGTATCCCGCCCGCCGCCCCGGCTACTTGGTATCCGGCCCGCCGCGCGCTGCTGCCGCCTGCGGCCGGGAGGCTCATGGCACGCGGGTCCCGAAGTCTGCGCGCCCTTCCCTGCCACGTCCCGCTCTGGGAAATGGGTAACACTTGATCTCACCTGTTCAAGGTGGTATGGCCAAGCGGGGGTTGCTGAATTTCCTAGATTTTCCGCCAATACATAAGGCCTGGTTTAAATAGACTCCAAACCGCAGCGGTTAGGGAGGCGGAGAGGAAGAGGGAAACCCCGCAAGCAGCCGCCTCTGCGCGCTCACCGCCCCCTGCCTACTCTGTGCGGTGTTCACAGCTGCCGGTCTACCCCGGTTTACCGAGGAGACTGGGGTTAGTGAGGTTAGGAAGCTGCTCGGTGGAGAACGTCGTGTGTGGGGGTGGGGGGGAGGCCAGAGTGTGAAGGCCTGACCCTCCTCTTCCCCATCCCTGCTGCGTTGCTCTGTGCCCCTCCTCGCTTCCTTATACATTTTCGCTCTACTCGTCTCTCCATCCCTCACCTCCAGCAGCAGCACCACCAGGAACTAAGGGCGGCGGGCAGGTTGTGTCCGCCTCCCTCGCTGCTTCAGAGCCTGGCGCAGTGGGGCAGGACCGAGGAGAGCAGAGCTCCCAAGCGAGGTCGCCCCAGGGGAAGAAGCCCCCACGCGGCAGGGGCCACACTGCACAGACCTGTGTTAGCGCCAGATGGGGGGGCTCAGCCAGGCCTTGGCCGCGGGGCCCCGGTGCTGAGAAGGCAGACCAAGGCCCAGCCCTCAGTGAGTGGAGGTGCCTCGCGATCAGAGGCACGATGAGCACTGAGAAGGAAGTGAACAGAGAGAGGAGGTCAGGGGAGGAGGACACCCTGCTGAGCCGAGACCCAAGGGTGAGAAGGAGAGAATCACAGAAAAGCTGGGGAAAGGATCCAGAAGGGGAACTGCACGTTAAAAGGCCCCGAGGACCCATTGTGCCTGTGAAACAGAAATCACGTCAGTGAGGCTCCAGTTCAGTCGAAGGGGAAGTGAGAGGGGAAGGGTGGGTTTTTGAACAGATGACTTTGATTTGTGGTGGGATTGGAGCCAATGAAAGTTTCTTTTTTCTTAAGTTTGTTGAAGTGCCATGGACATATAACAACCTGCCCAAGTTTCAGGGTCCAGGTGGAAAGCTCTGATGTATGCGCACACCTGAGAAACTATGACCATAATTAAGACAGCAAACCTGCCACCATCCTCACACACTTCCTCGTGACCTTCCGAGACCCTCTGTCTCGGTCCCCACCTCTAGTCCCAGGCAACCACTGATCAGCTTTCTGTCACCATGCTGCATCTTCCAGAATTTTCTAGAGGTGGATGTCCTCTTATTTTTATATCCTGTTACGTTGACTGGTTTTTGAAATTATTTGTTTATTCATTAATTCATTCATTTATTTATCTTAGAGAGAGGGGGAGAGAAACATCAGTTGGTTGCCTCTTGTTCTCGTCCCCAAAGGGACTGAACCTGAAACCCAGGCACGTGCCCTAACCAGGAATCAAACCCGCCATCTTTCGGTTTGCGGGACCACGCTCCAACCCACTGAGCCACACCAGCCGGGGCTGACTGACTTATCACTCAGCAACATCATTCTGAGACTCGCCCGTGTGGAGCAGGCATCCGTAGTTCTCTCCTTGGCATGGAGGACCCAGAGCTGGTCGATCCGCGCAGCTGCCGTTGAACATCCAGGCTGTCTGCAGGGTCTGCCTCAGCGGCTCGGGTGGAGAGTGAGTTCAAACCACGACGCAGTGAGCGCGGCCCCATCTGAGAGGCGCACTTTCACAGGCCTCGCGCGGTGAGCCTGTCAAAGCGGCTTCGGTAAGTGCACCCGAAGGGCGGTCTTTCGGTCCCTCGGGCTGCTGTAACAAAGTGTCACAGACTGGGTGACTTCAAAACAGCAGAAATGTGGTTCTCACAGTTTGGAGGCTGGAAATACAAGATGAGGGAGCCAGCACGGTCAGGGCCAGCTGCTCGCTGTGTCCTCAGGTGACCAGGGACAGAGAGCTCTCTAGGGTCACTCCGCTGAGGCATTCACCCCGTTCGTGGGCTCCCCCCACAAGCCCCACTTCCTAACGGCATCATTTTAGGGCTCAGGGTTGCAGCTTATGAAAGGGGGCGGACACAATGCTGAGAAACCCTGTGATTGAAGCCCATGGCGATGGGTGTGTGGTTCCTGCCTAGGGTCTCTGAGTCACATGGTCACTTGACCCGGAGAAGGTATGAGTGAGCCTCAGGTAGGGGTGTCCCCCCCCCCACATCTACTTTAACTCTGTAGGTCCCCAGGAAATGAGCTCCTGGGCAGCTTCAAGTGGTCGCCTTCGCACCCAGCCCACGGTGACTCCGCTTTACTCCAACTTTGCCGGACTCCGGCACTCCTCTGGCTTGCACTCCTGTTCCGAGGGACCCTGCCCCGCCCTGCCCGCTACAGCGGCAGCCGTGTCCTGCGGCCTCCAAGGCCGAGCTTTACCAGGACCTGGTGTGCGGGCACTCTCATTGGTCACGATCCAAGCCAGTCATTTTCAAAGGCCTGTGAGAGTAAGAGTCTTTTATTTCAAATGAATTTTTATGGATCCCCAACCCCTAAAACACAAAAGCAGGGACTTGCTCTGTGCAGCTGAGCGAAGCTCTGTAAAGGGGGGCCGGGAGGCTGGGTGCCCTGGGGCTGTCTCGCCATCTGCACCTGTTCCTTTATCTGTAAGCATCGCCCCATCTGGACTGGGATGGGGGCAAGAGTTTGTGACCTCAGGGGGGTGCTCGCTGTGGCACCGCTGGGGGCCCCAGGCCAGGGTTACTGGCTTTAGCAGCTCGGAGCATGTCAGTATCAATGGGCCCCCCAGGGACTGTTGTTTATGGTTACCCAGCTTCACTGCACGTCCTGCTGGCGTTGGGTGGTGGGTCTGGGGGCGAGAGAATGGAACCATTGGCCACAAAGCCAGCTCCATAAGGCAGGGCAGCCAGAGGAGGTCGGACCCCTCTGAATGACGAGAGCAAACACCGAGTTCTTGTGGGCGCGGGCGCTCAGGGGCCACTTAGAGCAAAGTGCAGGGGTGCACAGCTGTGGGCCGGCCACCTGGCGCTGTGCCTGCAGCTGGCAAAGGCCCTCCCTTCTGAGACTGTGCTTCTTTGCTGTGAAACAGGGATGATGATGATGATGGTTTGAAGGTTAACTGAGAAGAGGCCCAGTGAGACAGTGGACTGCGGCCCAGCAGGAGCGCCTGAGGGTGCCAGGGGCTGGGAGGGCCTTTGCCAGCACTTCACCAGCAGGTGTGTCAACTCTTTTTAGGTCACAGAACCCTTTGGGAACCTGAGCTGTTGACACCCCCACTTGGTAGAGGACGTCAGCCCTGCAAACCCCCCTGGATGTGGGGGAGCCCTGCTGCTGCCCAACCCCCTTCACCACATGGTTGACAGGATCCAGCCCAGGGCACAAGTCCCCACCTGCAGGGTGACCTCTGTCACACACCGCTACTCAGCTGCTCGGGCGTGAGGTGCGGTGCAGCTGCTGGATGCTCACCGCCACCTGGCTGAGCAGGAGCTCCCTGTGGCTCAGGACACAGCCTGGGACTCGGCCCTTCGCGGCTCCAGGCCCCCTGTCTGAGTCAGGGCCCGCAGTGCCCTTAGGCTCCCTCCTTCCACACACATATACACATAGAAAAGCCGCTTTTCTGCGGGGGGAGCTAGGTTTGTGACAACCCCCCCAGCTGCGCGAAGAGGGTCTGGGCCCAGGCCAGCTCTGTGCACTCATCTGGGCCTCGCGGGGCTTTCCCTTCTTGCCCTGTAGAAGGAAGTAGGCAGCCAAGTTAGCACCTTTCAGGTGCCCAGGCAGGGGACACCAGGAGCCCTGCAGCCACAGGAAATGACCACCAGGGGGCGGAGGAGCCAACATTGCTCATGACAGCCAGTGCCTGGGCGCTGTGGCCCCAACTCCCCCAACCTGCCCTTCTTGGGGTCAGTCCCCAACCCTCAGCACACACTTTCCCAGGGAGGGATGGAGGTCCTCCCTCCCGTCTGGGTCTTGGGCTTCCTGCCTCTCACATGCAGCACACAGGTGTTCCAGAGGAAAGCTCTGGAATGTGAGTCACTCGGTAGGTAGGCAGGACGAGGGACTGTTCCTACAGCTGCCTGGGGTTCTCAGGTGATGCTTCATCCAGACAAGGCTGAAGCCCCCCCCCCCTTCCAGGAGCCCCTCAGGGACAAGCCTCCAGGCTCCCAGCACAGGCCCGTCTCAGCTGCTAGCCTCCTGCCTGCCCCCACCTGGGCTCCATCTGCCCCTCTGCCCCTCTGGGCCCAACTTTCCAGAAAAAAAAGGAATCTCCAGCATCAGAAAAGGGTATCTGACAGCAATAAATTTATTAAGTATCCCCCGAAATATGAACACAAACCAGTAAAAAATAAATAAATAAAATAAAACTTCAGGCCTAGAACTGACAAAGCAGAGACGAATGGGCCACACACAAACGGGAAGGACCTACGGTGGGAAGACAGAGTTGAGTGCCGCAGATACTGAGGGACGGACACTCGGGAGCCCTGGGGTGGGGTGACGGGGGCTGGTGGGGCGAGGCTGGGGCGGCGTCAGGGCCTGCGCGGCTCTGGGGCAGACCTCTGGCCGTGGCCTGGCCCCCCAGGGCCTCACTTGGGGCCCTGGGCCTCAGACTCCTCCTCGTCGTCTTCGTACATCTCGCCCTCCTCCTCGGCCGTGGCGTCCTGGTACTGCTGGTACTCGGACACCAGGTCGTTCATGTTGCTCTCGGCCTCGGTGAACTCCATCTCGTCCATGCCCTCGCCCGTGTACCAGTGCAGGAAGGCCTTGCGCCGGAACATGGCCGTGAACTGCTCCGAGATGCGCTTGAACAGCTCCTGGATGGCCGTGCTGTTGCCGATGAAGGTGGAGGACATCTTGAGCCCCCGGGGCGGGATGTCGCAGACGGCCACCTTCACGTTGTTGGGGATCCACTCCACGAAGTAGCTGCTGTTCTTGCTCTGGATGGCCAGCATCTGCTCGTCCACCTCCTTCATGGACATGCGGCCCCGGAAGACGGTGGCCACCGTCAGGTAGCGGCCGTGGCGGGGGTCGCAGGCGGCCATCATGTTCTTGGCGTCGAACATCTGCTGGGTGAGCTCGGGCACCGTCAGGGCCCGGTACTGCTGGCTGCCCCGGGCGGTGAGCGGGGCGAAGCCGGGCATGAAGAAGTGCAGGCGGGGGAAGGGCACCATGTTCACGGCCAGCTTGCGCAGGTCGGCATTCAGCTGGCCAGGGAAGCGGAGGGAGGTGGTGACCCCACTCATGGTGGCTGACACCAGGTGGTTGAGGTCCCCGTAGGTGGGCGTGGCCAGCTTGAGGGTGCGGAAGCAGATGTCGTAGAGAGCCTCGTTGTCGATGCAGTAGGTCTCGTCGGTGTTCTCCACCAGCTGGTGGATGGACAGCGTGGCGTTGTACGGCTCCACCACCGTGTCCGACACCTTGGGCGAGGGCACCACGCTGAAGGTGTTCATGATGCGGTCGGGGTACTCCTCACGCACCTTGCTGATGAGCAGAGTGCCCATCCCCGAGCCCGTGCCCCCGCCCAGCGAGTGGGTCAGCTGGAAGCCCTGCAGGCAGTCGCAGTTCTCGCACTCCTTCCTCACCACGTCCAGGACAGAGTCGACCAGCTCGGCGCCCTCCGTGTAGTGCCCCTTGGCCCAGTTGTTGCCGGCCCCGCTCTGACCTGAGTAGGAGTGGGGGGGGGGGACCACAATCAGCGTCAGGCCTCCTGCGCCTCGATGCCCCAACCCAGAAGCAACTGTGGAAGCAGCGTGTCTGCCTCTGCCCTGCAAATCGCGGGGCCCACACCTCCTGTCTCTGCGGCTTTTCCCCATCGACCATGCTGTGCACTGCGGCCCCTGCTGCCCAGCACCAGGCCAAGGGCTCTGGCCAGAAACTGAGATGCAGCTCCTGCTCCGGCTTGACTGGGGGTCCTGGGTGAGGTGGTCGGCCCTCCCCTCCAGCAGCCTGACCTTGGCGAGCCATGGTGGAAGCCTCCACTACAACCCCAGCGTCCCTTGAATCTCGGGGTTTGGATGTGGACTGGTGCCAGTTGGTTGGGGTGCTGAGCTCTGAAGGGTGGAAATGGGGGGGAGGCCTGCCACCCTCATCCGGGGCACCAGGCCCACCTGAGCTCTGGGTCACAGCGATGCTGTGTTCGTGAGCACTGTCCTCTGGACGCTCAGCAGCCAGCAGCTCTCTAACGAGCCTGTAAGCGTAACTCCCAGTTTTATACATCGTTCTGCTTGAAATACAGTGTTTTCTGCCCCCGCACAGGCCACCCCTCTGGGTCCCCACTGGCACCTGCAGAATGGGGGTCAGCTCTGCCCTGCCGGGTCATGGCCCTTTTGTTCCTGTTGATCCAGGTGATGGAGTCACTCACCAAAGATGAAGTTGTCAGGTCTGAAGAGGTGTCCGAAGGCCCCGGACCGGACGCTGTCCATGGTTCCAGGCTCCAAGTCCACCAGGATAGCCCGAGGCACATATTTGTGAGCTGAGGGGAGGGGGTGGGTCAAGTGCATTCTAGAGGCTCAGGGGCTCCTCCGGCCCTTGAAGCTCTGCCCCGCCTCCCAGCCACGTGCTCTGACCCCATGAGGGACATGGGGATGGACACCCTGGATGGCCAGGGCCAGTTCCAGGGTCCACATGGGCAGGTGAGCATTTCTCCAGTTGAACATGGACATTGTTCTACACCAGGTGCTAAACAGCCCTGGCCCCAGCCCTCCAGGTGGCCCTGCTCTGGGCCTGCCCATGGGACTCTGAGGGGACCACCAGGACCTGTATAGGGTCCTGAAGCCCTGTCTGTTCCCTGTCTGGTGGTTAAGAGCATGTTTGAACCCCACTGTGGTGAGAGTCTCGGGTTACACCCGCCACACCCCAGTGGGAGGGCAGGTCCCCGGGCCCAGCGCAGCTGCCCTCCCAGCCCCTGGGACGTGTCGGGGTGCTCACAGGAGGCCTCGTTGTAGTAGACGCTGATGCGCTCCAGCTGCAGGTCCGAGTCCCCCACATAGTTGCCGCTGGGGTCGATGCCGTGCTCATCGCTGATGACCTCCCAGAACTGCGGGGGGACGGAGTGGTCAGTCGGGGACCGCAACCCCCACAAGAGCCTTTCCCCGGGTGGCCACAAAGCCCTGGGTGCAAAATTTGGGGCTTGGACCCCAAACACTAGCTCCTTGGAGAGACTTTGGAAAGAGCCCCAAGCTCTGTCACCTGTCATGGACATGTCATGAGCATGACATCACATCTGCACACCCATGGTTACAGGAGGCCCCGGGGTGGTTCAAGGCCCAGCTGACCCGGCCCAGCTCCGCACTTGCTGCTCAGTTAATAAGAAACCACCTTCTTTGGGTGGCTCTTATTACTCCCTTTTCAGATGAGGAAATGGGGGCACAGAGAAGGGGAGAGTCCAAGGTATTTGAGCCACTCAGTGCCAGGGCAGAGGATATCCAGGGACAGGGTCCAGCAGTGCCCGGAACATCGGCAGCCTCGGCTCTAGGAACCACAGGGCTGGGGTGGGGAGTGACTCGCCTGGGTGGCCCCCCCGACCCTGCGAGGCTGGCACAGCCTTAAATCCTGGAGCCTGTGTGTCCCTGGCTGCAGCAGGCAGGGGAGCAGCCACGGCCTCCACTCGGGTGGGACCACCGCTTCCCAGCTATGTGACCTCGGGCAGGTCCCAAGGATGCTCACTGCACCTGGGTCTCTGGGCAGCAGGCCCCGGCCGCTGCGAGAACACGCCGAGTCATCTGCGCAGCTCACGTGGACAACGAGGGGAGCCTGAGTGCTGCGTGGCACCATCAGCATGAGTGTCCACGTGAGGACACACCCTGGCTGCACTGAGCTCTGCCCTCCACCCAGGGCGCTCCCACTGTGCAGGCAGGTCACATGCTGCGGCTTCCCCAGGCACCTCCCCTTTGCTCCTCAGGGTTGAGGCGGCTTTCAGAAGATAGAATGGGTATGAAGTCCTGTTTCGGGGGAAACAGGCCCCTCTATCGGGGTCATGAGCTGGCAAAAAGGCTGCCGGGTTGAAAAATCAATTAGAAACCAGGGCGCTGTGCCTTTGCCTCGGACAGAACACATACCGCTGTGAGGGGCGTGTGGTCCCAGGCTGGGGACCCTTCCTCCCAGTGTGCCCTTTGGCTCTTTTGGAATTATCACATGCACATGTGAGCTTCACGCACACGCACGCACACACACACACACACACACACACACACAGGTTTAAAAACCTCCAAACTATGAACAGTGTCATTATAAAATGTACAGCAGGGTCTTGGCATTCATCAGAGAGACTGTAATCAGCAGCCAGAGCTCAGCTCCCAGGGACGTGGGGGCGGGACCCTTACCCTCTTTCATGCATTTATGTTACCACTAAGCTCTGCTCTGGCCTTGTGTGTGTTAATTGTGTCATTAGAAAAAAGACATGCGGAACAGCACTCATTCAGAGACGGATCAGAGCTTCCCACGCTGCTTGGCTCTCCACGCCCTCCTTCATCCCAAGGCTGACCGAGAGGCTGTGCCCAGAGCCTTGGTCCCCACAGTCTTAGGACACCGCAAACCTCTGGCTTCAGGGACACCCAGAGCCTCTGGAGAAGAGGGGTGATCTCAAGAGGGCAAGCGTGGGGCAGGAGACAGTCATTCAGCAGGCCACCAACCCTTCTGTGGGAAGAAGGACTGTCCTCCAGGAGGGGACAGACCACAGTGGGTGTGACATCCCTCCACGTCTTGGGAGGGGCCTCAGGTTCCTCACCTGGGAAGTAGGCAGGTTAACGGCCTCACAGCAAGTGCTTAGCGGACGGCCTGACACATAAAAGCATTCAGGAAATGTTGGCTTCTTAGGCCAAAAGGTCTTAGATGCTACTTAAATTGGTAAAGCCATGTGCACGGATAACCAAAGTAAAAATAAATAAAAGTTTTAACATATCCATATGCTGTGGAAAGCTGTGGCACAGTAAAAGGTCACTGCTGGTAGGAGACCTCCAGGACACACCCTTGGGGGGAAGGCATGTTCGGCAGTGACCGGACAAAGGAACCCTCGTGACGGGCGGAACTTTCGCACAGAGGCCTGGTGCTTCTGCAGGGGCAGAGTGTCCCGCTGGACTGGGGCTGGCAGGGGAGGGCTGGTTACATGGGTAGAGCCTTCCTGAAATAATGTTTCCTTTTTTAAGGGGGGAATATACTACTGACTGCTTTTGTAGTTAAAACTAGTAATAATTGTAATTTAAAACATTAAACAGATAGCTTATTAGTAAACTGGATGATGTGACATCTAATAAATAATAAAATGCAGTTTTAAAAATGCAATAAGAAATAATTATGGTCATCACTACAGATGAGAAAACTGCCAGGTGGCCGCGGACCCCGGGGTCCAGGCCAGCTGCTGCTTTTCAGCCTGGTGTGGCGCGGGTCCTGCCCTGGGCCCGCGGCTCTGTCCGTGGTGCTGATCCCAGGATCCGGAGGCGGTGGGGCGAGCACAGGAGCCCCAGGCAAGTAGGGTGCAGCGCCCCGGGGAGAAAGGACTGGCCGCCTCATGGTCCCTCCAAGACCCCATGCTTTCACGCCCCAGCCAGCGCTACCCTGACCTATCCAGCAGGTACCCAAGGGGCGGGTTCGGTGGTTGTCCGGGCCCCTCCCCTCCGCGGCCCCGCCCTGCGCCCTGCGAGGAGGGGCGCAGACAAAGGCTCCAGAACGGCGCCGCTTCCCTAGGGGAGGGGGGGGGGTCGGGCTCCCCGCGCATCCCGAGGTATCCGGGGCCACACCCCGTCTCACCGCACCCTGGCGAGGTGACTAGAGCGAAGCGCCTGGCACAGTGCCCAAGGCGGCGGCCGTCATTGTCCCGAGTCATTAATGCGGTCCCACGACTGCTCAGGAGAGACAAGTCCTGCTCTAGTCCCGGACCGCCCGGACTCCTCCGCCGCCCTCCCCAGGGCCGGCAGCCAGATCCACGCGGGGCCCGTGGGCAGAAAAGCAGCCCCGCGCCCACCCCCATCCTTCAGCTGCTGCAGGAGGTGGGCCGGGGCGTGGGGGGCTCTTAGCCCTTTCTCCAAGTCTGGGTCGCTGCAAAGGCCAGCGTTTGGGAAAGAAACGGTTCCTCCCTGCAAATCCTCCTATCTCTTGTTTGAAGTGTTTACGAGGATCAGATATTAATCTTTGAAATCAACATGAATTAAGAAAATCAAGACGAAAGGAATAAAAAGTAATCAGCAAACCCAAGGTTCAGAGCGCGGAGAAGCAGGGGCCCCTTGGCCAGAAACGAGGCTGTCCGGGCTGTGGAAGGAAGGGTATAAACCGACCACCCCTCCCCCAGGCCCAGGGGGGCTCGGGGCTGCCCGCCCCCGGCACCGCCGACCCTCTGAGGAGCAAATGTTCAGGCCAGGCCGTCGCACCACGTTAATGAGCCCTCGGCTCCACCCCCCCGCCCGGGCAGCTGTCAACGGTCGCCCCAGGAGCCCCGACGGACCAGAGGCCGTTCCCCTCCCCGCCTGCCCCGCCCCCAGCCCCCGGCCCCGGGCGGGCGCAGCTGTCTCCTCCCTGATTATCAGTCCTCGGCTGCGTCCTCCCAGACCCCATCCCGGGGCCTCCGCCCCGGAGCCCAGGTTGCAATTTACATGTCAGCCACGTGGCTGCCGCAGCCCCCTCGTAATTAGCTTTTTGTTCTCGCCGTTTCCATGGCAACAGCCTCCAGAGAAAGCCTCTCCTCCGTCCCTTCTCCTCCAGGACCCGCTCCTACCCCCGCCCCCCTCCAGGGTCCGCACGACGCCCTCCCGGCGCCGGGCCCCTGGCCGTGGTCCTGACAAAGCCACTCGCTGGCCGCGCGGGGTCCGGGGCCACCCCCGCCGGGCGCCCCTAAGGACTAAGGCGCTGTGTGACCTTGGGCAAGGGACAGCCTCCGGACTTAGGGACAGGACGCTCGCCACTTCCTCCTCCCGCCCCAATCCCTGCGGCCGACAATCCCTGGTGGGCTAACAAAGGCCGTGAGGAGCTGCCCACGCCCGGGGCCTGGCTTTGTTCCCGCGTCCAACCCCCGGACTCGCAGCCCGGCTCCTCCGGGTTGGGCTGCGCCGGGGGCGAGGCTGGTCCTGGACCAAGGTCACCTCGAATCCGGGCCGAACCCCTCCCCCAACAAAGGACCGGGGTGCGGCCAGGCAGCCGGAGGTTTTCACGGGGAGGTTGGCGGCTGGAGGAGGCTCTGACGGCCGGGACGACCTCCGGTTCCTGCGGGCGGCGGAGGCAGCGGGAATCGTTAAGGCTTTCAGGGGGAGCCCCACCCAAACCGGCCCACCCACCCACGCATCCGGCTCAGGCTGAGTGGCGACCCCGAGGGGGCCACGCCCAGCTCTCCGGCCGCACTCGCGGCGGCGCTCGGTGAAGCCGGCGGGCGCGGAGGAGCCGCAGGTGGCGGCGGCAGGACGGGCCCGTCGCTTTGTTCTCGGTCTGCGGTGCTGACCGCGCTCGGGGTGCGCGCGGCGCCCTGCTCCCCTCTCTCGGGTGGCGCCGGGCGGGGCGCGGGGGGCGCGCGGGGCGCGGGGCCTCACCTTGGCGCCGATCTGGTTGCCGCACTGGCCGGCCTGGATGTGCACGATCTCCCTCATGCTCGGTGCTGGGGCGGCAGCTGCGGGAGGCGCGGACAGGCCGGGCTGGCGACGAGGGTCCGCCGCCCCCGCCGCCGCTCTTATAGGCCCGGCCCAGCCGGCCGCGCCCTCCTGGCGTCACCGCGCGGCCAATGGGGGCGCAGCCGCGCGATGCGGCACGGCCCTGCCGCAGCCTCGCGCGCCTCCCCGCCGGCCGCGCCCGCTCTGGGGGCCGCTCACCCGAAAGCAGGGAGGACAATGGAAGCCCCCTTGGCCCTCGGACCCCGCCCCGGCTCCCTCTCGGGTCCCACACTTCGGCCTAGGGACCGACCCCATCTTCCCACCCCAAAGGGCGAGACGGACGCCTGCCAGCGCCCTGTCGGTGGCCTGAAGGGGCCGCCAATGTACTCTGAGCTTCACCGGACCCCGTGGGGATCCGAGGGGGCAGGAAATGGCCTAACAGGCACCGAAAGAAAACCCGGGGCTGAGAGACCCTGGTTCAGAGTGGCTGTGGGTGCGGGAGGGGGGCGGGGCGGCTGTGCGGCCCTGAGTCTCGCTGTCCCCTCTGCGGCGGGAGTGCCACCGCCCCTCCCCCACTGGCGGCAGTCGGTCTCCGGAGGGACCGGCGTTGTGCCCGGCCAAACGCAGCGCCTGGTGTGCGGCTGCTGCTCACTGAATGTCGAGTCAGGCACTGTGATAAGGACCCAGCCAGGTGAGGGACGGCCGGGGGCCGGGGGCATGGCGGCGTTTCTGTCTCACTCCCTGGTGTCGCCTGTGTGCCTGGACTCTTGGTCCCAGTGAGGCGCGAGTAGGGGCCAGAGTGCGTGGAGAGCCAGAGTGAGCATAAGGCGGGGTCTCCTGCAGGGAAACCTGGGGAAAGGGCTCTCCTGGTCGGAAGAGAGGGGAGGGGGACCCTCACAGGAAGGCAGACAGCGGGTAACAGGTCCTTCTGACGTCTCAGTGACAAACCCTCCAGGAAGGGTGTCCACAGTCAGCCCAACAAGCTTGTGGGGCTCCCGTGTCAAGGTGCAGGCTCAGGAGGGGCCTGCGGGCTGTGCCGTGCCCGGGCCCCTCTCTTCCCCTCCTGAAACTCCCCAGTTTGGCAAGTCTAGAAATGGGTCTTTTGTTCTCCGGTTGCCCCTCCCCCACAGTGTGGCTTTCCGTGGTTGGCTTCTGGCCACCTGGGGCCCCTCCCTGCCCCCCATTCAGGGGGTCTTTGGTGAGCATTTGGCTCTCCCCTGGAGCTGGCTGTGCCTTCCTGTCTGAGCGAAAGAATAAGCTTTGCAGCATCCTGTCAGCCAGGACCAGCTTCTCTGTGGGATGGCACTGGGCCTGGACAGCACCCCCTCCAATCCCAGGGGGCTCTGGTGCTGGCTCAAGGCTGACTCACCATCTCATCTACCAGCAAAGGCTGGCCCTGCCGGGAACCAGCTCCCAACCCCGAGGCCAACAGCCAGGGCTGGAGCTGCCAGCATGCGTGGGGTGGGGCCTGGCCTGGTGGAGCTGGCGGGGCTGGCCAGGGGGCTGCAGAGGGCACTAGAACTGCCCCGGTGTTGGCTGGTGCACCACTCTGGACTCCACTGAGCCTGCACCAGGAACAGGGCCGACTGCCTGCTCAGTGTCTGTGGAGAACCCACTTGGCTGCAGCAAGGGCCCCCAGTACCAGGCAGCATGGCTGCCCCAGAGGCAACTCCCAGGGACCCCCCCACCAGGGGACAGCTTCACTGTAATTTGGGGGGGCCTTTCAATCCCCTACCAGGACTGATGGTGCTGGAGGGACAAAAACCCCAGACCCTGATACACGGGGGACCCCTGCAGGGGTGGGGGCTCCCCATGCTCTGCCAAGGCCACAAGAGGGCGTGGTGGTCCTGCTTCTCTGGTAGCCGAGGTCAGCCTGGACAGCACCAGCCTGGCCACCATGGAGGTGACGGGACAGGGCAGCTGCCCCTCTCTCGCTGCCCTGGGCTGGGTTTACACACAAAGAGAAGCAAAGATGCGGCACCTGACTGGGTGTAGCAAGGGCCCACTCGCTCCCCTGGGGCACGGCCTCAGGTACTCTGGGCCCTTTAGGGTTTCTAGCTGGCGTCTGGGCTTGCTTCTCCCCCTCATCACTCCCACCCAAGCCTCCCCAGCTCCTCCATCCTCAATCTTCATAGGACTTCTGGAAAGAGCTGAGGCGGGTGGTAATGAGGCTGCTTCAAGTACAGGATTTATTACCAGGCACTTCCCAGCCCTGAGACCCTGGGTGCTGGTCACTGATTCAGATGGCCTTGGCACCGAGCAGGTACTGGCTGGCACTACATGTGGGTGCTCCTGGTGCAAATGGGCCAGGTCCCCAGCTCCCCCTGCACCAGAAGCCCAGAGGAGATTCCCCCCACACTCCCCCTGCCGCTCCTGCAGATGTGGCCCTCCACCTGGGGCAGCTCCTCACTTCTTCCCGAAGCAGCCCTGTGGGTCTGGGTCCTGCTCCTCATGGGACCCCTCCTCCCGAGGCTGCACGAAGGCTCTGCCAGCTCCGGACTTCTCATCCAGGTGGGTGGAGCCTGGGTGGGTCCTCACCCGTCTCTGGGTTTAGGCAGGGCCCTCCCAGAGTGGGTGTACCTGTCGAGGAGCTGGGCCTGCCCCATGCCTGCCTTCCCCCAACTCCCCGACATACATGCCGATTCCTCTCTGGCCCCAGCCTGTCTCTGCAGCCACACCTCCAGATTCCTAGCCCGTCCTCTTTGGCGAGTGACTTGGCCAGCCACACGGGAGCTGGGCTTGGTGGCAGCCACGCTTCCCGTGGCCCAGCACGTGCCCTCCCAGGGAGCACAGCAGTGCCTCTCAGAGTGCCTTCCAGAGCTGCTGGCTTCGGGAGGCGTAGACAAGGGTCCACGACGGCGTGGCAGATGATGAGGGCCGGGCAGAGGTGGAAGTTCTTGAAGACACAGTGGCAGATGGGGCGTTGAGGACACAGGACAATGAGCAAGAGGTACAGGAAGAAGGGGCCCCAGCAGAGGAGGGAGCTGCCCAGCAGAGTGGTGAGCACACTGAGCCCTTGAGGCCCAGGCCCTGCAGGACCAGGCGCTGCCTGCCCTGAGGCAGGTGAGGCTGTGGCTGAGCTTCAGCACGGCCAGGAGGAGGCTGAGACCCGGCAGGGCCGCCAGGGGGGCACAGGAGGCAGCAGAAAGGCCAGTGGTCAGCGGGAGAAGTGGGGCCAGGAGGGTGTGGGGGTGTTTTGAACATATCTGTGACATTCCTGCTGAAGTCCATTCTCTCCCCCGTCCACCCAGCCTGACGGGCCTGCAGGCACAAGCACACGTTAACGTCCGCTCACAAATAATGACCACTCCCTGCAGTTGCACAGCTCTCCCTCCTTCTGTTTTGAAGTACATCACAGGTAGCACACACTCGTTAAAAGTGTGTGATCAGAAGAGCCAGGGAAGCAGTCCCAGAATGAGGCGCCCTCAGCCCGCCACACACAGTGCTGCCTCTTCCCTGGGCTCTGGTGGGCAGCCACATGTTCCCACAGGGGACATCAAGAAGAGGGGTTTCATGGTCAGAGGCACCTCTCCCATTTTCCAAACTGGAGGACCCACGTGCCTGTTACTGGCCATGCACAAGCCCCCCACTGCCCACAGCTGAACAAAAGGACGGGCCCCACCGCAAACCCCTCCCCCCCATCGGTGCCGTACCCCAAAGGGTCCCAGGGCCTGAGCACAAGGCTGCACCGTGGCAGGAAAAGTGGCCTCAGCAGCTGAGCGGGGGACCCGTCCCTTCCACTCGCCTTAGGGCCCCCACTGCAGCCCTCCATCCCTCCTGCCATCTGTCCCTGGGGCGCAAGGGCATCTTCTGGGTGAGCCAGGCTGGGACCCAGCTCCTGTCATGGCATTCCAGGGACGTTACTATTTCCGACTCTATAAATGAAGACTTTGAGGAGTCCAGTGCTCCCCTCCCGGCCCCCCAGCCTGAGACTTCAAAAGGTGTGAGAACTGGGCAGCCTCTGGCCAGTGACCACAACCCTCTTCCTGGTGAGGCCTCAGGACAGTCCATCTGGTTCTCACTGGACTCTGGGGACCCCATGGCAGGGAGACAGCAGGTACAGCCGAGCTGTACAAAGTGGACATGCAGCCGTCCGCTTTGTGGTCAGTTACAGTCATGAGGGAAACATCTATGGTGATCACAGATAATCTTGACGTCAATCACACCACCGAATCTCCAGTGCCCCTGGGAGCTGGCGTGCAGAGTAGGCATGGACACGGTGTCCCTGGAGCCCGCCAGAAAACCAGGCACCTGACCCACAGTGAGAGGTTGAGAGTTGGAGCCCTCGGTCTTGTTCATGGTTGTCCCCCTGGCACCAAGCACAGTGACAGGCACACACCAGGCCTGCATCACACGAGCATCCAACGTACAAGTGAGCCCCACAGGGACACCAGGGCACGAAGAGCCCGATGAAGGGGAAGGAAGGGTCCTGCAACCAACCACGGCCACACCAGCGAAGTGGGGTCACTGCCTGACCGGAGGCGCAGGTGGCCTGGCCCTGTTGTCCTCAAAGAGGTGCCCGAGAGCCAGGGGACACACAGGCACGCGGGACGTGTAGCCGTGCCCTGGCTCTCGCCACAAAGAAATCTCAGGAAGGGCTGGGCCAGAGGTGGGTCACAGGGTCGTTTCAACTTGGGAGGGCACCCAGCAGACAGGATTCCTCCAGTTCACTACTCATGCCCTGGATCCTTCTGGAACCAAACAGGCTCCCGAGTCACAGGCAGCCCTGTGTGGTTCTCAGTTGCCAAACAAGTGTGCCAGCACCTGCCGCAGCTGACTGGCCCAGCCACCAACGCTCTGTTCGCCCTGAGGAGCAAACGTCCCCGTCTCTGCCCCGTCCATCCTTTGGCAGCCCTTTCAGGCTGCCCTCTGACTCTGCGCTTTCCCACAGAGCCCTTCCACTGGGCTGGGCAGCCCACGCCCATGTGCCCAGGCCGGTTCTCAGCGGTATGTGGGCGAAGGCACAGCCTGGGAAAGCAGGGCCACGCGTGCAGGAGTGGCTGTTCCCGCCGACAGGAGAGACAGGACAGGCAGGCAGACACCATGTTTTTACTTTGGGGAGCTGGCCAGTTCCGACCAGATGAGTCAGGACCGTCACTGCACAGTGCAGGCACGGCGTCCCCTGTTCAGTCCCACTCCCCATCCCCCTCGGCGTGGGCCTCCTGCGGAGCCTCCGGGTCGTAGAAGTGGAAGGTGGCCATCATGTCTCGCACGGCCAGCATCAGCCTGTTCAAGCCCTGGTTGCGGTCCAGCCCCTCGGCCCCTCCATCCTCTGGCCTCTCCCCCTGTGGCAACGAGACCGGTGTGAGCAGGGCTGTCAGGCACAGGAGAACCTGCGGAGGCGAGGAGGCCCTGGAAGCCACACCCAGCACGGCCAGGCTGACGGAAGAGAGTTCTGTCCAGTTGGCAGCTACAGGCTCAGGTGGGCATGGCCCAGCGACCTCGGCAGACAGCGTGCTCACCTACCTCTGTGGTGTAACTGGGCAGCAGTGACCGAAAGAAGAGGGCAATTGTGTTTCCACGGCTCGCGGGACTCAGCCTGAAAAGGAGAGGAGGGTCAGCAGACAGAGCAGGGGTGGAAAGGCAGCGGCTAGACAAGGGCTGAGCTGGGACCCAGAGCCCCAGGGGCAAAGGGGGAGGCTGTTCCTGAAGGTGGCTGGCTCGCTGAACCGGTGGAACGCACTGCACAGGGGCCTGCTTCTGAGAAATGCTGTGGGTTCAGAGTGTCCTTCAACACTTAGAGCTAAAGGGGCATAAAGGGGCCAGAGATTCCGGAGCAAGTGTCCCACGAAGACCCCTCCTGGTGAAGGGCGGTACTGCAGCCCAGCTCTACCAGACACAGAGCTGCCCTTGGGAGGTGGGAGGGCCTGCTCCAAAAGCTGACAGTCCACAGGGCTGGGCTGGGGGCAGGGTGGGGGACACCCCTGAGTCAGTAAAGTCCCACAGCCATTCCTCAACACTGTGATGTCCGGCATGTCGGCTTTTTTCTGAACCCGTGAAACTAATTTCCACCTTGACTGCAGGGTTTAACTGGGAAATGTTACCTCGTGAACATGCAATCCAATTCTTATAATTTGGTGGAAAAAATTCACCCTACAAAACATGTTCTACCAAGATCTGAAAGCCCCTGCTCCCTTAAACGAGTCAAGTTGGAGACGACCCTTCCAGACCTGCGAGTCAGCGCTGGGGAGCTCGGATCGGCAGTGATGCGGTTTCAGAGGCCAGAGAAAGGAAGCAGCCACCCACCCCCCGCAGCCACGGACCCTCCCAGCCCAGACGCGGGGCCTTTGCACGAGCTGACTCTTCTGCTCAGGCCCAGCAGCTGTCACCTCATCGCCTGGACAGGGCGCCTCCGGCCACAGTGCGCCCACCACTCCTCCCACACAGCTGCAGGTGGCAGTCCCCAGTCCCTGCCCCTGGTGTGCCTCCCCCACCAGACTGCATGCGCCAGGAGCACAGAGCTGGCCTCACTCTTGCTTCCCACTGAATACACAGCACCTGCGACTGAGCAACGCTTCTGCATCAGAGAGAAATAACTGACGGTGTTCACACCCGCAGAGGCTGGTCTGTGACCCCAACACTCGGCTCTGTGGACCTGTGTCTGGAGGAAGCAGCAAGCCCAGGGTCCAAAGCACTGAGCCAGAAGGCAAAGGAGCGAGCGACATGCAGACAGGTACCTCTCAGGCCTCGTGTAGGAATAGATGGTGTCCGGAGGAGGCAGAGGGTCAAAGCCCATCACAGACTGCGTGGTCACGTCCTGCAGAAGGTGACACAGGACAGAGAGACAGTCAAGCCCTGCGCTGTGCTTCCCTCCCCACAGCCTGTCAGCCGATCCTGCTCTGGACTGGCCCTTCCTGCGGGAGCTGACCCTGGTGGCCAGGCAGGGCTTACTGTACCCAAGGCTCGGGCAGCAAGGGTGGGACACACGACCACCCGCGTACATGCCACAACCTCCACCCAGGGTGTCAGGATGTCTCTGCGGAGCAGCAGGCTGCAGGCTGTGGGCGCCCGAGGCTCTGAGGGAGGGACCAGTTCACATTGGCTCCTGCCGGAAGCCCCATTCCTTACCGGGGGGAGGGCGGCAACAGCTTCCTTGATCTCAGAGAGGATCACATGACGGTGGATATTTCTGGGTGCACGCTGGTAGAGCACCTTCCGCCTGGGGCCCGGGGAGAAGAAGGGACAGCCCATGGAGTGAAACCTGCCCTGACCCCACGTTCATGACCCAGACCCCTGAGCAGTCGGGCCTCGTGCTTCCTGTGCGAACCCATCAGGCCAGTGCCCCCCCGGCTGCCCCAGGCTCACCTGCTCTCACACTCTTCCACGGCAGGGTCCCCGGCATCCACCGCCCGCAGGACCTCCCGGACGTTCTCCTCCAGCCAGCTCATGGTGGTGGCCTCCTTCCACAGGAAGTGTGACCGCCCAAGGTACAGGCTCACCAGCTGCCGCAGGGCGGGGGGCTGGCTGTGAGACAGCAGGGCCTGTCAGCACGGCCCACCCAGCGCCCCCCCACAAGCCCACGGGCAGCTGTGAGGCTACGTCCAGGCTGTGCCCAGGTCCTGAGGAGAGCAGAAGCTGCCCAGAGAGGGGGCTGCCAACCTGGGACGTACTGCTACCTGGGAGTTTGGGGGCACACGGTGCTTTCTTCTGCACATGGTCCTCACTAAGCACAAGTTCATTAATGGGAACAGAGAGAACAGAAGGGACGTGGGGCCGCTGTGCCCTGCACCCTTGCTCCTTGGGAAGCCTTGTGCTTTGGGCTGCAGGCCACTCACACACCTGCCAGGAAGACAGGCCCCCGCCATGAACACACGGGCACGTGGCCCTCAGAGCATCTGCCAGTCTTTACCTGATCTCGGCACTGGGTCCGAAGAAGTGGTGACCGGCGACGGCGGCGTCAGGCCGCACGCTGCAGTCCTCCAGCAGGGGCATCAGAACTGCGGGAGGAAGCACGGCCCCAATGTGTCACTGACGCCTGGGAAGGGCCCGCTGTCCTGCTGCCTCCCAGTGGCCCTGTCCGCATGTGAGGGAGTGGGCTAGGACCCCTGCGAGCATGGGAGCTGGACGTCCTCACCACAGAGGCCACACACCTGTCCCCTCAGCGGCATCCACCCTGAGGGAGAAACCTCCTCCCCAGTGACTCTCCAGGGCCTCCTGCCCCAGGTCCTGCCCAGAGGCAGCTGCGTGGGCGAAGGCCACGTACCCCTGTGGGTCACAGAGCAGGCTGCGTGGGTGGGCAGCTGTGCCACATGGGGGGGTCCAGAGCCACGCCTCTAACACCACCAGGCAGTGGCCTGGAGGCAGACCTCCCTCCTCCACATGAACAGACACACAGCTCCAGCCGCTGGGTGGGGAGGGTCCGTTCCCTGAGACCTGCCAGGCAGCCCTGCGTGCACAGCAAGTCAGGCCAAGGTGCGCGGCAGGGCTGCGGTGGCTGAGGTGTGGGGCGCTGGAAGCCTGAGCCGCTTGCCCTCCTCCCCGTCCCCTGCACAGCCCTTCCAGTCCCTGTCTGCTCTGGCGCCACCTCACACACCGTCCCAGTGCCTGCCTGCCTCCCTGCTGCAGGGGACAGTGGCGAGCTCCTCTTACAGGTCAGAGCCCTCTGAAGATGTGTGAGGTGCACTTCAGCCACCGAAGGGATGAGCCACAGGCCTCTGCACCCTGACACCCACGGGACAATGGTTCCAACCTGTCCTGCAGGTTGTCCACAGGACAACCTGCGTCTCAGCCCCTCCAAACGGAAAGAGTCAGGACCACAAGACAAGAGTGGGAAGCCCACCTGGCTAACTTGCCCTCCTGCCCCACTTGTCCCTCCGTCCAGGGCCTTGCTTCCTGCTCCTTAGAAAATGCCACACCTTCTTCAGAAGCTAAGTCTTTTTCAGACAAACAGCCAACATCAAAGACATCCTAAAACCCCAAGCTACCCTGAGACCCAAGTAAGTCCCAACTCCTCCTTGGCTTTCACTCGGTCCCTCGGGCTGGTCTGACAGGGAGGGCTCGGGGCACCCACCTCCGGGGAACATGGTGAGTGCCTGGCGCAGCAGGAGGGAGGCCTTCTCCCTTGTGGAACTGAGCTCCTGCTCTGGGAGGTCTGCCTGCTGGCTCAGCAGGAAATACGCCAAGGGCACGGAGAAGGCAAAGTTTGGGAGCTGGGACAGGTTCCGGTGAGCCTACAAGGAGTGAAGACGGAGGCAAAGTTCCCAGCCTGCCAGCACACACGGCACCTCTGCAGCACTTAGTGTGACAATGACAGTCTCCCCTCTGGGGGGAAACGACACACAATCTGCCCCTTATCCACGGGGGACGTGCTGCGAGACCGCAGTGGGCGCCTGGCGCCGTGGCCAGCACCGAAGCCTGCGAGCACCGTGTCCCCGCCTGCACATGCGCATCCGTGACCAACTCCAGTTAACGGACGGGGCAGCGTAAGAGACAAGAGTAAAACAGAATGACAGTTTGAGGTACCAGAGTAAGAACAGCACAGATTTCTCTTCTTTCTTTAAACTTCACTGACGGAAGATTTATTTCCACCACAGATTTTAACAACCTCAGCGTGATTTTTTTCTTTCCTTGTCCAGTCGCTTAAATGAAACTTTTTACAGCTTTCCTGGGGCAGTGCCGAACCTCTGGCACCGGCGCTCTGGTGCTCTGGGGCATTAATAAGTGAGACTGGGGGAACCTACGTACAAGCCCTGCGATGCCTTGACAGTCTCTCTCATAACCCAGATGGCTCATCTGTGCGCCTGTCAACCAGGCTAGATGCGCTGGGGTCTCCCAGGACCCTTGCCAGGGCCCATGTTGGGCGCTCACTCCTACCTCCCACTCCTCAAACAGGCGGATCAGGTACTCGTAGCTGCGTGCCCGTAAGGCCAGGTGGTCCACCAGCAGCAGCATGCACAGGGGGTCCTCGTCTGGCTCCAGGCTTGCAGAGGCAGCGCGGGGCAGGGGGCAGAGGGAGATAAAACCCAGAGTGAGCCCATGTTGCTGTCATGGGCCTGCAGCTACTGAGGAAGAGGCCGCGGCCGCAGCCAGGATGCCTACCTCAGGATGAGCTTGCAGTACTCCAGCGCCGTGCGTGGGCAGCCACGCTTCTCTAGGAAGCTCAGATGCTTGTACAGGGCCAGGTAGAAGCTCCTAGACCCAAGACAGTGCCGCGTGAATTAGAGCAACAGCAGGCCGCAGAGCCACGCCGCCCTGTCCTGCTGGCTGCGCCGGCACTTCCTGTGGAGCCTAATCCGTGAATGTCCGGAATGTTCCTGGGTCTGCAGAGAAGGCGACGCTCCGCTTGTTGTTTGAGTTACACGTGTGTCCGTGTACAGAAAACCAAGCTTATCTGGTAGGCCGAACCTCTATCTTGGGTTTTTGTTTAAGTCATTGAAATGAGCAGTCAAAACCCAGTGCCATCACCGCCTGGACCCGCCTCTCACTCCAACAGCCACAGCAGCTCTGTGGCCGGAGCATGGAGTCTGTGGCAGGACGATCCGAGTAGACCGCTGTTTTATCCAGACCTCCCGCCCAGCTAATGCCTGGAAGTGTGAGTACTTCACAACCTGCCCCAGTGAGCTAAGAATTCACATGGAGAGACCAGGCTAACAGACACCGGCAGTGGGCGGCTCAGATGGAGCCCACAGTGCAGGGGTGCAGTGGGTCAGCACGCCAGGGACCAGGGTGGCCTCTGGTGGGGGCAGGAGCCAAGAAAACGCTCCTGGCTGCCGACACCAGAGAGAGCTGGGGAGCAGAGGAGGGTGTGGAGAGCCCAGGACAGCCAGCATGTCCCCCACACCAGGGCCCTGACGACCAGGCTGAGATGAGCGGGGGGCTGCTGAGGCCACTCAGGGCCTGAGCAGGGCCCTCAGGGCAGCAGAAGTTTCTGCAAGACGCAGGGGTCCCATATGCAGAGTTCAGGTCACTGCCAGAAACAGGGTCGGGCTGCACCCCAGGGACACACTCAAGAATCACACACACTCGCAGACAAAGCGTGGCAGGGCACTCTACACTCACAGGAAATGAACCCTTCCGTGCAAAGACACATGGGACCCTGAGTACAGACCCCCCCAGGGTGAAGTGGCTCATCAGGCTCACTTCTGACATGGACAGGCACGAGCCCAGTCAGTGGTCCCCGGCCAGAGCCCAGCCTCCTGCATTTACGCTTTAAATACAGTGCGATGCCCTGTCTGAGCCACCAGGGGGCCCCGTGTGGACAGCCCATGCCCCTGCTCCCGCTCCCCACCACAGGTTCTCAAGTCACCTGCGAGGAAAGAGCAAGGAGGTGTGCACGCACCTGTTCTCAGGTCTGCGGTAGTCCAGCCGGCACACCCCACTGGTGAGGCTGAACAGGGGGTGGAAGGCACACTCCATGCTGTACAGCGCTCTCTCTGTGGGCCACACAAACACCAGGGGACAGCGTCACAGCCACCGTGCAAGAGACTGCAACCCCGTCCTCTGTGCCTCACAACACGGAAAGCTTGGCAAGGAAGGAGGTCAGGTGGCTAGGACTGAGGGAAGAGACGGGGCACAGACGTGACGCTGGAGGTCCCCGAGGCCACTCTGCACTGACTTCACCCACAGGGCCTGAGCTGGCAGCTCCGGGATTCCAGACAGAAATGCACACACGTCCTTCCCTGGCCGGGTGGCTCAGGCGGTTGGAGCACCATCCCACAGACAGAAAGGTAGTGGGTTCTATCCCCAGGTGGGGCACGTAGAAGGTAACTGATTGACGTCTGTCTCACATACTGATGTTTTTCCCTCTTTCTCTCTCTCTCCCTTCCTCTCTAAAAAGCAATAAAAAAAATATCCTCAGGTGAGGATTAAAAAAAAAAAAAGAAATGTACTCATGCCCTTACAAAACTCACACACACAGGCTCCAACGACTCATCCACAAGGGCTGAAACGCGGGGCATCTGCCGAGTGCAGTCTCACAGTGGAACGCCACCAGCCTTGGAGACGGTGGTGAGTGAGGCACCCAGACAGACACGTTTCTATGATTCCACCGTTCAGAAAGGTCCAGAACGTGCAAGCCCAGAGACAGAAAGCAGACTGGTGGTTGCCCGGGGCTGGGAATGTGGCAGGTGACCGATGAGTCCAGGCTAACAGACACCGGCAGTGGGGGCTCAGATGCAGCCCACAGTGCAGGGGTGCAGTGGGTCAGCACGCCAGGGCCCTTTCATAAGTAATGAAAGTGGTCTAGGATGTATGAGGGGCTGTATGAACTATACACTTTTAAGTGGGTGAATTTCATGTAACATGAATTCTACCAAAGCTGTTAGTTTCACAACATCTTGGCAAACCCATTCGCATCCTAGCATCATCAAATGACACCTGTGCCACTAGCCAGCCTCTGACACACTCGGGTGAAGGGACGGGAGGGCTGGGCAACAGGCAGCTCTCACCCACGAGGTCTCGTGCCATCTCCTGGTCGTCCTGGAAGCGGCAGGCGTCGCTGAGCTGCAGCAGCGAGTCCACGTGGTAGGGGCTGGTCTGCAGCAGGACCTGCGAGGCCAGAGAAAATGCTGGCCACAGCCGTGGGCAGGGCCCTCCAGGGACGATACCCAGGAGACACCAGACCCCAGGGCACAGCTTTCTCTTGGGTACCAAGCCTCAGGGAAAACATCACCAAGGGTGACTCAAAACGCCCAGCTCAGACACTGATGGGCATGGCTGTGAAGCCAAACCCCTGACTTGACTGGAGAGGCAGCTCGGGACTCTCTGCGCCCAGGTGTCTCCGCCTGCCCGCACCCCCAGGGCCCAGGCCCCACACCCAAGGCAAGCAGTGAGCCCACACTGCCTGCAAGCATGGCCCTCGTGCCCCGGGCAGCCTGCGGGCCCCACGCACCACGATGTTGTTGGGCTCCATAGACTCCACGGCGGCCAGGAACTTGTGCTGTGTCTGCTGGTACTCCTCGCTGTGCTCGAATGCAAAGTAGGACAGACCTTTCTTGGACTCCAGCAGCCGCATGGACAGGCCTGGGGACAACGCCGGGTCAAGGCCCTCAAGGTGCTCTTGGTGGGGAAGCTCTGCACTCAGCTTGAGCTGCCACAAGAGCGCCAGCCCCACCAGGCCAGCCAAGTGGCTGCCGGCCCGCACCCTCTCTGTTCTTTCCTGCAGAAACGCTCCCCCAGGGAGTGTGGACAGAGCACCAGCCCTCGGGACAATAGTGCAGGGGCCAGCCAGGCAGGGAGGAGACGTGACTGAGACCCGTGACCAGACGCCGTTTGTCCCTGCTCCTTGTGCCCGAGCCTTCGGGGCACAGGGGCTGTTTCTGCAATAAACCTGGACTCCCATTTCCCTTCAGCACCTTCACGGACTCGGCCCGCGGTCCCCGGTCGCCCTAAGCTCACACTGTGCTGATGGCCGCACTAGGGCCACGTGCCCCAGGACACACGGCTAACATGCCCCCATCTCTGCCCAGGCTCGGGGCGTCCCTGCCTCACCGCTCACCCCCACCCCAGCCCCAGGCCGTGCAGCCGTCCCAACAAGCCACTGGCCCACACCCCACACCTTTCTGCACAGCTGCTGTTTAGCTTTAAAGTACATGACATGTTAGTTTGCAACAAAAAATAAAATGTCACACTTTAAAAACGAACTTGATTGCTTGCTGTGGTGTAGGATCCACAGGAAACAGCAAGAGGACAGGGAAAAACCGCACTCGAAACGTGGTCGAGATGACACACAGCTGGTGGGGGGGCTGTGTCCCAACGCCAGGAGTGTCTCCTCTGGCACCGTGCCAGGCCCTCGGTCTCCACACACGGCTCTGCACAAGCCGAGGAGAGGCCGGGCCAAACAGGCTCAGACCCCGGCGGCGCCCAGCGGCGGCCCCAGCACAACCCCACACCGCCGCAGCCCCTCACCTGGCTTGCTGTACCGGGGCCAGGTGCTCTTTGGGGTCGTCAGCCACGTACACTTGGGGTACAGGCGCTGTCTCTGCCGTGGCCTGTGGAGGACAGGACGTGGCACAGCTTCATCTGTGCTGCCCAACCTTTGCCCAGCTGTGGAAGCAAAACCGCGGGGCGGGGGGAGAAGGTGCACGGCTGCACCTCCACATGCGGTAATATCCTCATGTGACCACTGCTGGACGAAGCTGGGGCCCGGGACCTCAATAACCAGACAACGAGAGAAAGCAAAGAAATAGGAAACTGGCAGCTTGGCAAAGTGGCAGGGGAGGTGAGGGGGTCACAAACCCACACTAAAGACGATGAGGAGGAGAGCGAGCCTGCAGGCACCCTGCGGACGCCCACGAGCCGCGTCTGGGGGACGGGCAGGGCAGGCCATGCATGGGCTGACCTCCCTCTAGACGCGAGGTCCGTCTCCCGCCCTCTCTTGGGACTCCCCAACCCAACAACGTTTGAAAAGGGGAGAGACCTGGCAGCCTGCTAACGTCAGCACTAACACCAGTTCCTGGGAGGAGGCTAGCCCAACAGCAGCACAGGGTGGGCGGCAGGCACAGCTCTGCAGGCTTTGGGGTGGGTGTCCCCGCAGCCCCTTGCCCCATACCCAGGGTCTCTCTGCAAGTGGCAGACCTACCCGAGCACTGGTCACAGGAGGGGGTTCCACTCTGTTAGTGATGTTTTATTTCTTGAGCTCAGTGATGAGCACACGGACGTGTGTATGTACTTATCTATATATTTTTAATAAACTTAACTATTTCACTTATGAAAAACAAGAGTGATGACTTCTGGCCAAGATGGAGGCGTAGGTAGACACACTGTGCCTCCTCGTATCACCAAAAGACAACGATAATTTAAAAACAAAAAACAACCAGAACTAACAGAAAAATCAAACTGTAAGGAAGTCCATCAACCAAGGAGGTAAAGAAAACACATTCATCCAGACCAGTAGGAGGGGCAGTGATGGGCAGCCGGGCAGAGAGGACTCACAGCAAGGCAGTGGCTGGAGGATCAGGGCGGGCAAGGTGGCCACTGGCAGACCTAGTGAGGCGGTGGATTATGGACTAGGCAGTCCCACATTCGTGTGCAGATAAACCGGGAGAAACAACTGGGGAGCAGGGCGGACTGCGCACCCCCGGGCCCCAGTGCAGGGAAATAAAGCCTCAAACCACCGATTGAAAACACCTGTGGGAGTTGAGGTGGCAGCGGGAGAAACTCCCAGCCTCACAGGCAGTCCGCTGGAGAGACCCACAGGGTCCTAGAACGTACACAGACCCACCCACCTGGGAATCAGCACCACAAAGGCCCCATTTGCTTGTAGGAAGTGGCAGAAGAGACTGAAATCCGACAGAGAGCAGAGCAAGTGCCATTGTTCCCTCTTGGAACCCTCCCCAACATATAGCGTCACAACACAGTGACATGGATTACCCTGCCAGGGCGAACACCTAAGGCTCCGCCCCTCACTATGTAACAGGCATGTCAAAACAAACAAACAAAAACAGATCAAAGCTCCTGAAAAAATACAACTAAGTGATGAAAACATAGCCAACCTATGAGATGCACAGTTCAAAGCACTGGTGATCAGAATGCTCACAGAATTGGACTTCCGCCAAGATGGAGGCATAGGTGGATGTGCCGTGCCTTCTCACACAACCAAGTTTAGAGACAACTAAATATTAGCAACAGAAAACACAACCAGAACACGGAAAATTGAACTTTTCGGAAGTCCGTTAACAACAAATTCTTCAGCCTGACCGGTAAGGGGCGAAACCAGCGGCTGGTGAAGCGGGGTTGCACAGGAAAACTCGGTCAGACGGACTCAGGCGCGCGGAATCCAGGCGCAGGGTTGGACCTAGTGAGCGACCGAGTGACCGCGGGGGAGACAGTGGGGGAGCGGTGCTGCGTGTTGACTGTGGTCGCGCATTTGTGCACGGGCCGACTGGCGAGGGAGTGAGCGGGTGGACCGGGCCGGCGGGTCCCCGCGGCAAGCAGCAGTGGAGGGCACCGCCATTTCCCTGCTCCGACCCCACCTCCACATACAGCGTCACAACCCAGCGACCTGGGAGTCCAAGGCGCCGCTTCTCACACTTAAAGGACCAGAACAGACCAAAAATGGCGCAAGAAGATCTCAAAGCCCCAGAGCCCATAGATCTAAGCCATGAAGAAATACCAAAACTCTCAGACACACAGTTTAAAACACTGGTGATCAGGATCCTCACAGAACTGGTTGATTATAGCCGACAAATTAGACAAACACATGAAGGCGAAACTAATTGAAATGAATGGAATTGCACAGGACACCAATAGCAATGAAAAGGAAACTGGGACTCAAATCAATGGAGTGGACCAGAAGAAAGCAAATAATGGCCAAACAGAAAAGAGTCAAGAAGCAAGAATTCAAAGAAATGAGGAGAGTCTTAGGAACCTCCAGGACATCTTTAAACGCTCCAACATTTGAATTATAGGGGTACCAGAAGGGGGAAAGGCACAGCCACCAGTGGAAAACTTATTTGAACAAATAATAAAGGAGAATTTCCCCAATCTGGCAACAGAAATAGACTTCCAGAAAGTCCAGAAGTCCAGGAAGCTCGCAAAGTCCCAAAGAAGTTGGACCCAAGAAGGAACATACCAAGGCACATCATAATTACATTACCCGAGATTAAAATTAAGGAAAGAACCCAAGAAGCAGCAAGAGAAAAAGAGAGAGTTACCTACAAAAGAGTTCACGTAAGACTCTCAGCTGATTTCTCAAAAGAGACCTTACAGGAAAGAAAGGGCTGAAAAGAGGTATTCCAAGTCATGAAAGGCAAGGACCTACATCCAAGATTGCTCTACCCAGCAAAGCTGTCATTTAGAATGGAAGGGCAGATAAAGTGCTTCTCAGACAAGCTCAAGTTAACAGAGTTCATCATTACCAAGCTCTTATTATATGAAATGTTAAAGGGATTTATCTAAGAAAAAACAGATAAAAAATATGAACAGTAAAATGACAGCAAACTCACAATCATTAACAACCACACCTAAAACAAAAACAAAAGCAAACTAAGCAAACAACTAGAACAGGAACAGAATCATAGAAATGGAGATCACACGGAGGGTTATCAACAGAGGAGTGGGAGGGGGAAAGAGGAGAAAAAGCACAGAGAATAAGTAGCACAGGCGGTAGGTAGAAAATAGACAGGGAGAGGTTAACAATAGTATAGAAAATGTAGAAGCCAAAGAACTTATATGTACAACCCATGGACATGAACTACAGGGGGGGAAATGTGGGTGGGAGGGGGTGTGCAGGGTGGAGGAGTATGAAGAGGAGGAAATGAGACAACTGTGCTAGCATAATCAATAAAATATACTTTAAAAAATGAGTGAAAACTTAAACTGTGTTAGAAACAGGGTGAAAAAGCACGTTTCTGCTCCCAGTAAGAAGTCAAAAGCTGCAGGGGAGGACGGCCACACGAGACAAGCCCGCAGACCCGCAGGAGACTGACCTGGGAGACGGTTCTGCACAAGTGGCCAGGTGCCCACAGGAGAGGTAACTGTGCCGTCTGTGGAATCCCAGGGACAGCCCAGACCTGCAGAGACCTTCCTATGGACAGACTCAGACTGGACCGAGGCGGCTTTGACTGTGCTGGGCAGTGGGACAGGGGGTGGGAGGGGCAGAGACAGAGGGGAGAGGGCCATGAGCCTGTCACAGCAGGGTGCCAGTGAGAAAGGGCAGAGCTCGCAGCGGACGCGACTCTGAATGGCCAGCAGAGACGACGGGCAGGCGCCCGTGGGAACAGGTGAGGGACGAGAGGCAGGACGTCTAGGGAGGGGACCTCGGCTTCACAAGGCCATCGGGTAGAACTTAAATTTTCAGAAATAGATAAGTATAAACCAATAAAAACAAACATAATTATTATTAACTCAATTACTAGCTTCAACTCAGACAGAAATAAGACCAGGCAAAAATGTCAAGAAGTGGCAGCGGCAGACCAACAAACGGGCACAGGGCACGAGGGTCGGGGCAGGGAGAAGGCCGGCCTAGGGTAGCCCAGGTGACCAAGAGGAATGGTTTGAAGTGCAAATGTTTTTCATTAATATTAAAAAAGAGAGAGAGAGACAGAGTCAGAAACCCCTGTGTCCTAAATAAGACCAAAAATAAAAGCAAACTATAAAGTAAAAACCATTATAAATACAAGGAAAGTGTAGGCAAACAACAGGGCAAAAAGTCCTCACTCGACCTTCCTCATAATCAAAGGAAGGTCAAATCATCAACACAGCTGTCCACGTGCTCGGGGCAGGAGGGGGGGGGACGGGGACACAGCTGTGCTGCTCTCCTGGTGGCCAATGGTGTGACGTGTCGCTGGGAAACCCAGATCGGGGTGACTTCTGTAGAAAGGCTGGAGCAGATACAGGGGCTGCAGCTAACACACAGGCCAATGCCCATCCCCTAGAGAGCAGTCCCCCGCACACCAGGGTGTGGCCGCCGGGTGTGTGGGGACCGGCAGTGCTCTGGGACCCTGGGGAGGTGCAGTGACCAGCAATCTGTCCTGAAGGGTTGTCTCTTGGGGGTTGTCAAAGCAGGAAATTCTGACTTGCTTGAATTTTTTAATTAGAAGTATTTAGTTCTATAATTGGAAAAAAGCTCTGTAATCAGACAAAGCTTCTGTCAGGGTAAAGGCTCTCAGAACACCTGTCCTCCCACAGGGAGCCCCAGAACCAGCCCCTCACGCCCTGAGCATTTCTCGTCGAGATTCCCACAGGGCACCAGCCACTGAGAACTGTTACATTAACAGAGATCAAACTTGTCCCAGAACTGAGACTTCAAGTTTCTTGTGCTGCTAATTGAGAAGAATGAACCTACCTAAGATTTCAAGGCTAGCAGCTCAGACTCGAGGAATCTCAGAGCCTTTGCTACAGAGAGCAGCGGGCCCAGCAGCCACAGACAGGCCCAACTCCAGCGGGGCCCTGGGCCCAGCACCCACAGGGTCTCTGCTCACCAGGGCTTGGAGAGCCTGCAGTGGAGAACATAACCCACGCTGGTCTTACCTTTGCTCCCCCAGGACAGCTCGAGCGCCAAAATACCTTTTCAGTTCGGTGTCAGGATTCAAGTGTCTAGAGAATTTAAAATTAAAACAAAAAAAATTAAATTGAGTTCTTTTACAATTCCCCTGACTCTGGGAATTTTAGAAAGTCACATAAAATCCCCAGTGGGGAAAACTGCTATTTTGGCGTCAAAGACCCTTTGTAAGCCTGCTATCTCTACAGCCACCTGACCAGAGGCCAAGTCGGGAAGGTGAAAGGCCTGGACTAGGTGGGCATCCCCCACTGACTCAGCAGCAGCCTCTGCAGTGGCCACGGGCTTTCCTTCAGCACCTGCGGGGACCAGATGAACGACTGACCCCAGGATGACATCCCAGGGCAGCAGTGTCCCCCACACACCCAAACTAAGAGTGAGAGACCCCTGGAAATGGAGGAGTCCTTTGTTCCCCTTTCTCCTTGTTCCTCCACATTCGGTAATGAACCCCTATCACTTTCATTCCAGGAGAGTAAGCGTTCCTCCTCCTCCTCCTCCTCCTCCTCCTCCTGGCGGGGAGCCCTGGTGGCCGGTACCTGTGCTCCACATACAGGACGTGCCTCCTCGTACTCAGGGGCTGCGGGCTGGGCCGCCCCAGGCCACCACTGTCCTCGATCCGCTCCAAGATACGATCGATGTCTTCCAGCCCATTTTCCTAAAAGCCCCCAAGCCCTGTATTAATCACCGTCTTCACTTCATTTTAAACATCAAAACAACAGATAACATTGTGATTCACTTTGACAAAGAACAACGGCCACACTGCTAACTTCCTGAAGGAGAGCGAGCACATGACCCAGAGCGGAAGAGAGTCTTCCTGGGAGGGGCTCCGAAGAGACAGAAGCAGCACAAGGGCCCCGGGCCATCTGAGTGGCGAGCCCACACCCCTGGCCTCACAGGTCCACGCACCTCCTCAGGTAATTGAGCTGGGCCTGGAGATGCTGATGAACAGCCACAAAGCTGCAACCTCTTTTGGGGGACTAAGAGAGGGGGACAGGGAAGCCCAAGGGCAACATGGAAAACACTTTGTGGGGACACACTGCCCCTGGGGCATCTGCTCCTCAGCAGTGGACGTAGGTCCGGCCTGGAGCTGCAGGACGAGGGGCTCTGCCATCCCACAGAGTCATCCGGGGGCACGGTGGGCTTGGGTCTCAAGGAATGACATGAGCAAACACAGAAGCAAAGCTGGGTAAGCAATTTCCCCTTTAAATTTCTCTAACCTCTAAATTAGTTACACTCCTGGTGGGAAGAAATCAAAGTATCAAACAAAACCAAACTGCTTTCCCTCCCAGACGTGGTGGCATCCCTAACACCTTCCCGACTTCTGTGAGAAGTGCTGCAGGCACCAGCCCCACGGAGGGACACCGGACAAGACGAGCAAGGCCGGGCTGCGTGCACAGGACGCGGTGCCTGCGGTGGGCAGACTAAGCTGATTTCCACAACAGGCCACGGCTGCGGAGATCGGGCCGAGGCTCGCGTGTGTGGTGCACAGCGGCAGATCTGAGAGACGCTCGCCATGAAGACGCGCGAGCAGTCTGAATGGGGGGCAGTAAGAGGAGACAGGGCCACGGACCCGGTCCTAAGCTCCGTATTTCGTTTTATCACGTGACGGTAAAGCCTCGAGGACATTTCTGCTTCACACGGACAAACGAACGAGCTGCCTCCGACACCACCTGCGAAACAGCCAGGAAAGGATGGGCGGGTGTCCGCCGAACATACCAAAGTTTCTCCCGTAGCATTTTTCTTATTTTTCTGCTTCTTTTTCTTCTTTCGGAGTTTGCCACTCGTATTAGACTAACAAAAGAAGCACATCTTAATCAACGGGAAGAGACAATGAGACCTTCCACCCTGACACCCACAGCGGAAGCTACTGAGGGACAGTCACACAGGATGCAGGCCTGATGTCCCCCTTCCACTTCCTGAATGTCCTGGGACCTCACCTACTTCTCTCAGACAACAAACAGCTCCCTGAGCCGCCCCACCTCTGGTCCAGCCTCCCCCTTCCTCTCAGACCTCTTTCTGACACAGCTCAGGGCTCCCTGTGACCTCCTGAGGCTCAGAGTTCTGACGTCTGCCCACCGGCCCTCTGCTTTCACCCTTCACTTTGTCAAGCTCTCTCCTGCCACACTCGACCACCGGGAGCCCGGGCCCTGCATCACAGTCCCTATAGCCATGTCCCTCTGCCTGAACACCTGGCACGCCCTCATCTGGCCCTCTGCTCCCATCCCAGTGTGGAGCACTGGGAAGGCACCCCCACACTCATCCACTCTCCCCAACTGGAGCTGTCCATTCATCCATGTCCCCCTCAACCAGAGGCCCCTGGAGGACAGAGACTTGTCCCGAGAGCCCAGGAGGCTCCCTAAGCATGTGTCGGATAAGTGAGCGAAAGGTCTTTGTAGGAGTGTTCCCAAGTGCCCCGAAGAACACAGAACTAGAGGGGCCTACACATTTCTTCAAGGTGTGTCCACCCAGGGCCATGGTCCACCCGGCCTGAGCTCCAGACGCACATTTCGGAAGAGCACGCACCCTGCTGAGCAGGGGACTCTCTCGAAAATTAGGGAGACGGCACTTGTGCTGGGGAGACTGGTCTGGGGACCCTGGATGCAGCAGCCCCGACAGCCACCAGTCTTGAGGATTTCATGCACATCTGACCAGGGCTCCCCAGGAAATCTGGGGTGACTGAGCAATGAACAAGATGGAATTCAGAGAGTGACAGCAGGAGTATGTGCCTGGGCCCCTCTGCCCCACACCCCCCCACACCTGCTCCAGGGGTGCTGCCCTGCCAGCCTCCTCTCCATCCTTCTTGCGCTCGGCACCTCCACTCTGGGACCTCCTTTTGCTCCCCGACACCGCAGCATCTGTGGGCAGACTCTCTCCATTCACCACTGGCCCCTCCTCCAGGTCCTCAATGTTTATCTGCAGAAACGGAGGGGAGAGAAGGGGGTATCGTATGGGTGTCCGGTCACCACTGCGTCCTGAGCTACTGCAAGACGCGTCTGCATCGGCGGCAGGGAGGCCACACGGGGCTGTGGAGGAAGGAGTGCCAGCGTGCTGTGCCCCGCAGGCCTCAGTGCCAGCACCTGAGCAGGTCCTGGGTCAGGGCTTCCCCGGTCCACAGAGGGGCTGCGGCCCACGTGGCCCATGGTGTCCTGTCTTCAGAACCGGCAGCAGGCAGAGTCCCCAAACATCACAACTTATCCCCCATGAGCACCGCCCAGGGCCACTGTCACACAATGGAGTCCACACTCACCCCCAACACGGATGAATCTGAGGATCACAGTGTTGAACAGGTGCAACTCCCAGGACATTCCCCACCCCCCCGCCCACCAAACACACACTCTGGAGGAGAAATGGAGACAGGGGTAGGGGTGGCAGAGGTGGGTACAGGTTACTGTGAAAGCTCTGGCCCTTCAGCTAACAAATTAATACAGAAATAAAAGAGGCCACCATGTAGCAATAACCAGATCCGATGGACCCAATCCGGTGCACTCAAGTCCAAAAATAAAGAAAACTGTATGTTCAATTTAGAACATCTAAAAAATATAAATCTAAAAAAAATCTATTCTAACCCTGCAAGCCTGAGATAGTTTTGAAGTGCAACTGGGACCACGCTGTGTTGTGACTTTTCATTGATGAGAATGCAAGGCAAAAGCACCACTGCCGTCTCCAGTGGGCCTGCTGTCCAGCGGGAAAGTGGCAGAGAAAGCAGGGGTCAGTTTTGTGCTCTTGGGTTTGCCTTCCTCACCAGTGGAGAGTTCCACGTGGAAGCATAAACTCAGGAGTGTGCAATGTGTCTAGCAGGCCCCTGGGTCTCTGTGGATGAAAGAGCACCTGATTGGACAATGCTGGAATGCTACCAAAACGGGGTCTGCCACGGCACCGCCACTAGCAGGCGACTGCTCCCTCAGACACCTTCTTCTGCGTGGCAGCATCAGGACGTCAGGGGCCCCGTGTGGTCTGGCTGGTTAGGGTCTTGAAGCAAAGCGGGAAGCTGGAATGAGGCTACTATGGATATCTTCCCTAAACTGTGGGTGTCATGGAGGACCGGAACCCACACTTTCCTCATCATTTAACTAAGGGTGCCACCGGAACCTCTTGTTAGTTGGGTGCTGGTTTCCTAGTATAAAGTAATGCTCTCTTCCTTTTAAAAAATCCTATTTTTTAGCCCCCTTTGGGAATCTGAGGTGTTTTAAGGAATTCAAGTTCACAATAAACTCTAGGCCGAGCTAAACCTCAACAGAACGAACTGCTGATTCTACATGCACACTGGGCACGCACTGTGCAGGACACACAGGTGAGCAAAACACGTGTTACCAGCCCACACAAGGAGCTCAGGGAAGCAAGAACACGGTAAAGCACATAACGCCCTGGCAGGGTGGCTCAGTTGGTTGGAGCGTCGTCCCATACACCAAAAGGTTGCAGGTTCTATCTCCGGTCGGAAACGTTACTCTCTCCCTTCCTCTCTCTAAAATCAATAAGCATATCCTCAGGTGAGGATTTTTTTAAAATCTATAAAAAAGACACAGTACACACAAGAAAATTACAGACTGAGGCCAGCGCTAAGGAGACACGGGTGGGGTTTATTCCTTCAATTCACAGCTACTGTGTTACTTCTCTGTGCTGGACACCTGGCTGGCGGTGATGCAGCGATGAGCAAGACACCACGTCCGGTGTGAGGAATAAAGAAGAATGTTTGTAAAGACCCTTCAAGTGCCTGGCGTGGAGATGAAAATCAAGGGAAGAGCACTCAAGATCCTGAGAAGGGGAGCCTCGCCCCCCACGCTTCCGCCCCGCCCACCGATGCCACAGCCCCGCCCACTGCACGGCAGCCCCACACCTCAACTGCTGGCTAAGGTCACCACAGGCAGCTCAGACAACTTGCCCCGCCCCTGGTCACAGTGGCCTCGCCCCGAGCGTTGGCTCAAACCGGAGGTGGCCCCAACCCCAAGTGGCCCCGCCCGCTGCCCCACCCCACCCCCAGGACCGCATGCCCCGCCTACTCCCCAGGCCCCGCCCTCTCCAGTGCGGCCAAGACCCTAGGTCGCCCCGCCCTCAGGACGTCACTGCCTCACATCCCCACCCCACCCCCACCCCACCCCCACCCCACCGCCGCGCTGACCCGCCCCGTGCAGACCCGCCTCCCACGCGGGGTCCCCGCCGCCCCTACCCCAGGCGGCGCAGCTCACCAGCTCGAACCGGTTGTTGACTTGGACACCCTCCTTCTCTGCAACCCGGAGGCGCCGAGCGCCTGGTCCCCGCTTTGGTCCTTCTTCCGCATCATCGTCATCACGGAAGCCAAACTGCAGGGCGCCGGGCCCGAGGGGCTCCTGTCCGCGCTGTTCCCCCCTTAGCCTCCGGAGGGCCCGGCGCGACATAAGACCCAACGGCCGCTGACGTCTAGGGACTGGGAGAAGACTGGCAGAAAAGAGAGCGGCTGACGCGCCTGCGCACTTACGGCACGCTGGCGCTCGGCTGGCTTGTGGCGTCTGCGCGCTGCGGCTCTCCGGGACTTCCGCTCCGTTCCCGGTAGCATCAAGGAAGGTGCGGGCATGCCCAGACTTGTTCTCGCGCGATTTGAGTGCCCCTGGCGGGTGTGTCCGAGTCTTCCGGAGGCGAGCCTGCGAAATGTCGGGCTGGGATGTGGGAAAGGGGCGCACAGGCTCCCAGCCTCCTGCGCTGGGACCTAGGCCCTGCGTGGGGTCAGGCAGGCGGTGCCAGGTGAGGGGGCGATGCGCAGGTGACAGCTGGAGGGACCTAGAGGGCCTTGGTCCCCGCTCTCCGGGCCCTGCCCGTGACTCGTCAGCCTGACTCTAAGGCTGTAGACCGGACAATCCCCGCATTAGCAGTGAGCGCATCCAAACCGAGTAGCTCCCCAAAGCTGCGGAATTCCGGGAAACACGCAGGGACAACCCCCATGCCAGGATGGATTGAAACCGAATCTGTCCTGCTTGCTTTCCGTCGCTGATGCGCCCCAAGTAACTTCTTGTACCTCTAGATATGGGAAACTGTGGTCTGAGGTGCACTCGCCACCCTAACTGCATCATAATCTGGGAGGTTGTTAAAATAAAGATGAAGGACCCAGCCGTAAACATTTCAGGTGGGGCGTTGACATTTTAAAAAGCTCTTTGGAAATTAAAGTGTGAATGCAGACAGGACCTAGAACCCTGCACTGCCATCCAAGTGCAAGAGCGAGATGACCTGGTGTGGCAGCCTTGAGCTGGGGATGGCTGTCACTATGGATCCTGGCCAGGTCCTGTGCTAAATTCTCACCTCATCTTGCGAACTAGGGATCCCCTTTTACAGGTAAAGAGAGTGGAATTCAGAGAAAAACTGGCCAGGTACAGCATGGCTTTGCATTTGTGTCTGTGGCTCCAGAGTTCACAGGAGGAAGTGTAACAGTGGAAAATTGTAACCCACCCCACAGTTCTTTCAACATTGTTTCTGTAAGTGCGGACTCTGACTAATATGTAGCTTATAGATGAACAGCATGTTTACATAAGAATCCTAGGAATTAATTTCAAAAGATACAGTCCCTGACCTTCAGGCACTGAAGGGCCTGACCTCCAGCTCTGGCAGTTTTGCTGACCTTCATTCCTGGAGCCGGATGACGTGAAGCCAGGATGATGAAACCAGGATGACTCACAGTGGACCATCACTTGCCTTATGGTAATGGGCTGTTCGTCTGCACGTAGGGAACTTCACAGCCCCTTTCTTGATCCTAATGTTCTGTTCCCCTTTTCCTCCTTATAAAAACCTCTGCCTCCAGTGAGAGATGGAGATGGGCTTTGAGATGTGAGTCCTCCATCTTCCAAGACATGGGGTTTTTAACATGAGTCCCACATCTTCAAGGAGACGGGCTTTGAGTCCTGAATCCCATCTTCCACCCATATGACCAGCATCTGCAAATTAACTACTTCCCTTTACACCAGCACCTGCCTCTCAAGTATTGGCTTTCCTAGCGGTAGGCAGCCAGACCTGTTTTCGGTGGCAGAAGGCCACTGGCAAGGATGGAGAAGGGGAGGCAGGAGGGGATATGGCCTGTAGGCCTGGTCATTGGATCTCGAACAGCTTCACACCACTGGCTTATAGCTTCTGCCTCAAGCTCCTGCAGCCTCACCTGCTCTAGCCACTCCCCCTGGGTCCCCTAGAAATCCCACCCCCATCTGCAATCCAGCTAGAGGGTTGTGCTCAGCACAGGTGGGCCCTCCAGGACGCCACCCTGCTGTCCAGTCTGTGCAGGGCCAGGCTAGCTGGTGAACAGGTTGTGTCCCTTCCTGGTCCAGTGGTGTGACCAGTTTATGCAGGCTTACTGTGGGTGGAAACTCAGGAGTCTGAGGAGCCTGGAGCCGCTTTCTGCTTTCCCCATCACAAGATAGCTGTGTGACCCCGAGGGGGGCAACGTGCAACCCCATTTGAGTGGCACCTTCCTTGAACCTGAGCCTTCCTTGAGCCTGAGTCCACGTACCACCAGAAATGTGTATGTAAAGTTTTAGAGGAAGTGACCTTCGTGGGTCAGAACCTCGGACGGGGGCGGGCAGGGCTTGGTTCCGTGGGCACCGCACAGCCTCCGGACCTGCGGTCCTCAGGAGGCAGGCCCAGCAGCCTGGGGACAGCAGTGCCAGTGACACCCTCTCCGCCCAGCCAGACAGGTTTTTGTGTGGCCCTCCATTTCCAGGGCTTCCCGTGTGGGCCAGAACCCCAGTTGTCCCATGTTGAATTGGGACAGTGACAACAGTGCTCACCCCCCAGGAGCATCTGCTTGTGGAGCTGCTGCCCACATGTGCGCTTTCTCCTTGCTGGCTGTGTGTCTGGGAGCAACTCCCATCCTTTTGGTCCTGTTTTCTCATTTTTGAATAGGAATAATACCACTCCCTGCCCGTGAAGTGCTCAGAACAAGGGCTGGGAATTGGCTACCGTTACTGGCTCCTGTAATTTTGCGTAACTGAATATTCTGGACCCCAGCTGATGCAATATCTTCTCCCATAAACCCATCTGTTACAAGTCATGTGCCTTGGGCCTCCTGTAGACCCCTGTCCACCGGGCAGGCATTGGAACCTGGTACCCAGCAGGCCTGGGTTGAGGTCCCGGGAAAGCTGGGTACATCTTTAGCAAAGTTCTTGGGATGCTTTCAGTCTCAGTTTCCTCATCCACAGGGTAAGGATGACAACAGATGCCACCTCCCAAGTCCATGTGGGCAGACAGGGCACACAGGTGCTCCTCCAGTCACCATCCCCAAGAGCAGGGTAGAGATGCTTCCATCCCACAAACCCCAAGGAGCATCTGGGGGACTAGGACAAAGGGTCCCCCAGGCCAGCCAGTGACAGGCAGCCCTGCTGGCCTTAGGACCAAGGTGTTGGGTTATGAAGTGGGGTGTAGAGAATGGCAGTGGCATCCCCATCCTGCCCCCGGGGGCGGATGGCCCCTCAGAGCCCAGCTTCCACCTTTGGAGGACACCTCCACTGCTGTGGCCGAGCAACCCTTAGTTCACGCCCCGACAGGAGACTATGAGACCACCTTTATTAGGCCGAGAACATAACCCACAGGTACAGGCTCCCCCAGGTGACCAGACCCAAGGCGTCGCAGGGTGTGGCATTGGGCAGGGAGTGAACCTGGCCACAGACCTTCCCAGGGGATGGCCTTGGGACACCTGCCTGGGAGAGGCTCAGCCCATGCAGGTTTCCCAGGTGCCTCCGAAGCCTGCATCCCTGCTGCAGAGCACAGACGTGAGCCGGGCGCTCCATGCCCCCCAGACCAAGGTGCCCTTCCCAGCCAGGACATCCACCCGAGGAGGGATGGAGAATCACTGCAGGGGCAGGGTCTTCCCCAGAACCCCCCCCCCGGCCTGCCTCCAGTCTGCCCTCCTTCCCATCCTGTGCCATCCCCACCCCACCCAAGGAGTCCAGAGGAAACAGCCTCCCGGGGAGGGTACTGGAAATGAGCCTGATGGGGGAGGGGCCAGGAAATGTATATAAATATATAGGCTGTGTATGTGTTATATAAATGTATCTATATATGTATATATGTACATGCACACTTGGGAGGCTGCTGGCAGCTGGGCCCTGGGACAGGGTGAGAGGGTGTCCAGCCTGGTCCAGAATGGGCCCAGCTCCTCCCCAGAGGCCTGGCCACCTGAGGCCACCTTGAAAAGGCTCTCGCCAGGTGGCCTGGGGTGGCAAGGGCTATCACTGGTAGTCAAGAGTCCAGGTGCTCGGGACGTAGAGGGACTGGGTCTGGCGAGTGCGGCGAGGAGTGGTATTGAGGGCGTCCACACTCTTGCGGCTTGAGCGCACCACGTCCGCCACAAAGCTGGTGCAGTCGCTGCAGACGTCCTTCAGGACGCGGCCGTGGGTGTACATGTGCGGGAACTCCTCCTCCACACTCTGCCACTGGGGCCCCTGCAGGGACCTGGGGCAGGATCTGGCGGTCAGGGAGGCCCCACCCCGCGTCAGGTGTGCAGGGTTTAGGAATGGACGTGCGAACAAAGTGCATCCCAGCAAAACCGCTTCCTCCGAGTCCCAGGCCCTCACCACCCAGCACGGTTTCCGTCTTACACCCCCAGAGCCCTCCCAGACCCCTGCATCTGGTTTCCTTGGGGTGTCCCAGCAGACAGGACTCCCCACCCGCACCCTGGCTCGCGTTACCGTTACCGGCAAAGAGCAAAGGCACGCACTGGAAGGCATCTCTCCTCTGTGTCACTGTGGCTTTGGACGCTGCCACCCTCTGAGGACTCTCAAAGCCCAGGGTGTAGACAGGGATGTGTGCAAACTTCTTAGAAGGCATCTTCATCTGTGGACGAAGGAGTGTGGGTGGAAAAAGTCTTTCCCAGGGACAGCCCAAGCTCCTGAAGCCCCCTGGGTCACCGCGAGATGCCACGCCTGGCATCTGAAGGCATGTGCCTCTTCACACACACACCCAGCCACAGCCACTCACACACAGGCGTGGAGCGGGCCCTGTGCGTTTCCCAGCTCACAGGGTCGAGCATCGGGCCCTGTACGCAGCAGACAGTCCCCTGGGACCAGGAGTGGTAGGGTATGACCTCGGGGTCTGGAAACACTGGGGATGAAAACCCCTCTTCCACAGATTCCTGTTTCTGGGCTGAAGCGTTAACGGGGTGACGCACTTCTAGTCATTACCCATTTACATCAGTGCACACGTGTGCGGACACCTGAAGTTACAAAGAGCCCCCCAAACACTGGAGGACGTGTGGGGTCAGGAAGCTAGGACTTTTGGGGGAAGGGAAATGTTTCTTGGCATGGTCTTATTAACATGGAATGTTAAAAAAAACAAAAAGCAAAAAACCACAGTCCTGGAAAGTGCAGGAATGGGTTCCGCCTGCGGGGAGGAGAGGCGAGGGTGGTGTCCTCTGACAGGAGACCGCAGAGCCCCCGGGGATACTCCCGGCCAGGCAGCAGCCAAGCGAGACCCCAGGGGACTGCCCAGACCCCACGGAGCCTCACCTTTACGCTGCAGGAGGTGCAGACCGCTCTGGAAGGGAAGAGGAAGAGGGTCAGCCCGGTGAGGCCTCGGAGTAACAGCTGCTTCCTGGCAGGTGTCTCAGCAGCACACCTGCCTCTGGCTGGGCCCCTGGTTACCTCCGTGTCTCACTAGCATTTGACTCTCAAGTCTAGCTTTTCTCTTTATTTAGTTCTACACCCAAACTATTCCTGTCCTTCACGGCTCTTTCTCAGCATGTGTGGTCTGGAGTTCTCACCCCCCCCCCCGCACCTGTGTGGGTCCCACGCTTCTCACCACAGGAACCATCTGAGCCAGAGGGGCCACGATGAACGTTTTTTATTCCTCACATCTGATTTCAGAAGCAAATGCACTTTTTTGGGTAAACATTCAAACATTAGAATTGTAATTCAGACAATGGGTCCTCTTCTCTGAAGCCCAGTCCTCAGAGATGGCCCCAGCCAGAGATGCAGCCTTCATTTTCCTGGTATAAGCTTAGAGGTGCCAAGATGCACATTGCAAATAGAAAGGCAGTGGTGTCCAACGTGCCGTTCCATCGAGATGCACCAGGGCTCCTCCACATCAGTGCAAATCGCCCAAGTTCATTTTTAGAAACAAGCAGGTGATTTCTTGGGTGGGTGTCCCATCAATAAACCACTAGGTGAATTTTATTTTATTTCACTGTGGTCAGGGAACACACTTTGCGTGACTCGAGTCCTTCTACGTTTTTAACACTTGTTTCATGCCCCTGAATATGGTGTATGTGGGTGAATGTTCTGTGTGTACTTGAGAAGAACATGTCCTGCTACTGCCGGGGGCAGGGCTGCTCGTTCCCAGGGTGGGTCAGATCTTCTAGAGCCTCAGCTTCTTCCCGTCCCCCAGTTCTACCAGTTGTCGAGAGAAGGCCACTGAGGTCTCTAGTTATAACTGCATTTACCTATCTTCCATGTCGCTAACTTTCTGAACATAAATGGAGCTCACAACTTTTAATGTCCTGATCTGCTGATTCTCACATCTGTGTCAGTTCTCCATGATTATGACTGATTTTTCTCACGATAGGTCAGGTCTTCCTGCTTCTTGACATGCCTGCTAATCTTTGACTGGATGCCAAGCATTTTATCTTGCTGGGTGCTGGATACTTTTTATTCCTATTCTTTTTTTCATTTGATTTTTTAATTACATCTTATTGACTATGCTATTACAGTTCCAATATTTCCCCCCAGCCCTTCTCCACCCAGCACCCCCGACTCCCCCAGACGATCTCCACCCCATCGTCGATGTGCATGGGTCAGGTCTGTAAGTTCTTCCGCTGCTCTATCTCCTATGCCATACTTTGCATCCCCGTGACTATGCTGTAACTACCTATTTCTATGTCTTAGTCCCTTCACCTTTCTTGAGCTCTGTCCCGGGAAGCAGTTAAGATACTTGAGAATAGTCTGGTCCTTTCAGGTCTTGCTTCTGTTGATTGTTTAGGTCTGGGGCAATGCTTGGTCTCGGTACTTATCCCCCTAGTAACCAAGACCTTCTCGTGCTTTCCACTTGGTGGCCCATGAGTTACATTCCCGCCACCGCTGGTGGGAGCAGACGCTAAGTAGGGTACTGTTCCTTAAACCTGTAGGGGAGGGTCTGTAAGCTTTTTCTCTAAAGGGTTATATAGTATTTTAGGTGTGGCTAAATGACTAACGAATAAAACTCTATTAATACAAAACAGGCGGTGGCCATGTTTGGCCCATGGGCTAGAGTTTGCCAATCCCTCATTCTTTCAAAGCCTTCAGTAATTTCCTTACATGGGTGTATTGACCACTCTGCTGAGCACTCAACGGGGACCTTCGGCATGTCACTGAGGCTTGTTCTCGGGATAGCTCTCTCCTCCCTGAGGGCTCTGGGGCCTGGGGCTCCTGGGGTGCTCAGCTCCACCGCTCAAGGAGCCGAGCAGGCGCTGACTCATGGCCCAGAAACTCAGGCAATGGAGGTGAACCAACCCCACCTTTTCTTATGACCTGCCTGAGAGGACACCGCCACCCCCAATCACAGGGAATGTTCTGTCGGACAGTGCTGACCTTAGGGCTTCTCACCTCCTCCTGCCCATGTTAATTCACAGCCAAGGTGCTTACAGAAGACTCACCTTTTGCAAAAGAGACAGGTGGACGGCCAGGAAAACAGCGGGAATTTGCTTCGGCAACAGCAGCAAATCTGCAAGAAAAGGCCTCGTAGAAGATCAAAACATTAACATTATGAACATTAAATGGTAATAAATTCACAACTATCAACAATTGGCTTAAAAAAAACCCAAATGAAGCAAACAAGCAGAACAGAAACAGAATCATAAATGCGGAGATCACATGGAGGGGTGTCAGTTGGGAGGGCGAAGGAGGAGGTTGGGGGAAAAGGCACAGGGAATAAGAAGCACAAATTGGCAAGTACAGACCAGACCAAGGGAGGTTAAGAACAGTATAGGAAGTGGAGAAGCCAAAGAACTTATATGCATGACCCATGGACATGAACTAAGCGGGGAGCTTGCTGGGGGGAATGGAAATACCAGGGGGAGGAAGGCAAAAGGGGAAGAATTGGGATAACTGTAATAGCATAATCAATAAAATGTATTATTTTTAAAAAGAAAAGGCCTTGTTAGAGTCCAGTTTTGTCTAAAGTTCACTGGGTCCAGTCCTGTCCCCCCCACACCCCCATCCAGGGCTGCTGTGTTGTGAGGGTGTCCAGGGTCCAGGCTGCCTCACCTTCCCCTTCTTCAGGCTGCTGAAGAGCTCCCTGTTCTGCAGGAACTTCTCCATCTCAGCCTTGACCAGCACGCGGCGCACGCCCATCACCTCCTCCACGGTCAGAGCCAGGCTCTCCGCGGGGTGGCTGAACTCCTGCACACGGAGCAGGGGTCGGTGCTCCCTGGGGCCCTCAGTCCTGGGGCCTTGCAGGAGCCTCCCACAGCTCTCTTCCCTGCGGACCCTGACGTCTTCCTGGCCTTGGTCCACCCAGGCCCAGCAACTCCCACAAGGCCCCGTGCCTCAGCTCACGCACTCCGGGAGCTGCACGGGCCTCCATGACTTCTCTGACGAGACCTTCTGACGCGGCTGTGGGAGAGGCTCCTCCAGGCTCACCGAGCTCTTAGACAGAAGGTCGGCAGCCCCCACTGACACTCCCACGGCCGCCTCCCTACCCCAACCAGAGGCCCTGAGCTGGACCCGACCTTCAGAAACTGTGCGAGGCCATCAGTGTTTGTTGCTGTAAGCAGCCGTGTTCAGGGGTAATTTTCCGTGCAGGGAAGGACAACAAATTCAGAGCGCAGGGGAAAGCATTGCCTTTGTGGGGGGTATTAATAGTAGTACTACTGTGCATTTACGCTTTGCAAAGCATTTTAACATCTGATCTCACTTGAGCCTCTTGCTCAAACATCAAGGAAACGATACAGAGCACCCACTGACGTCTCTCCATATGCCGGCCAGGTGCCCGCTAGACAAAATCCCACCCTGAGGCTCTGGTCAAAATGCCAGCAAGTGTCAGAGCAAATTTCACAGCTAATGAAACCGAGGAGCAGGGAGGGTCAGCAGGGTCGTGGCTGAATGGAGACCACCGCCTCACCCCGGGAAAGGGCTCCCTAGTGCCGCCACGAGGACTTCAAGGCATAGGGTCTCTCCTCTGTGCTAAGCAGGGAGCTGGGACTCTACATGCCCACTGTCCCCTTGGCAAGGTCCTTCCCTTCCAGGGGCCACAGTGCCCAGAATGCCCAGCAGGGGGCAGCAGAGACCTACCTCCCCAGACGGCGGCCAGGGCCGCATGGACCAGCCACGCCCACCAAGGGAGGCAGATGCCACTCTGGGCTTCTGCTGGAGCCTTGTGCTGGGCACAGGTGAAGCTGAGCACTCGAGATGCATCCACCCCAGCCACCCTGGCCAGCGCTGCCCTTCCACTCACCAGCCACAGGTGATTGGTGTCTGGGGTGGCAGAGGCCTCTGGCCTGTCCCCTACTGAGCTCAGGTCACCGTGTCGGGAGGAGCTGGGATCAGCCTGGGACTGGACGCTCACAGGGAAGGGACCTGAGGAGGAGTTCAGAGACCCTGTCAGAACAACCCGGCAGAGATCCTGGAGGGGGCTGCCCAGGGGAGGAGGCAGTGGGGTGGCTTCACGGAGGCAGCAGGAGTAACCAAGCAGAAGGTCGAGTAGAGAGCACGTCACCCACGTCACGGGCCCATGCCGTGCAGCAGGCCCAAGGGACCCCGAAGGGGTCTGAGCCCCATGAATGAGCCAACGTTGGGAGTTCCAAGGCAGCCACGGCGCAGGCCCTGTGGGACCTGCCTGCTCTGCGGTCCCACTCACTGCACCGGCACTAGGGACCCAGAGGGCAGAGAGGGGCAGGGGGTCAAAGGCAGACTAGCCTCCACCATGGGGTCTCCGAGTCTTCAGGTTGGCGGAGACAGTGAGGTATGCACTGGCCTGGCCGGGACCTCTTCCTGGCCAGGAAAGGGGGTGACAACTACCAAATGGGACCATTCTGAAAGTGATCACAGGCCGAGGTGACCTAGAGGGCAGAAAGGGGGCCTGGCCAGGTCCGGTGGAATGACAACCCCATGTCCTGCCCGCATTTCGTGTGGCCCCAAGACTCGACCTGTCCTCCGTGACGATGGACGCAGAGGAGGAGGCCCTTGAGACTCGGAGGTGACAGAAAACGGGATGAGCTCCCTGCACCCTGCAGGTGCCACCTGCTCAAGAACAGGGACCCAGGCCAAGGGACACAGCACCCAAAGGACAGGACCAAGGGAGGGGCGAGAGGAGGCACTTGCCCTGCTCCTGGGTGCTGGGTCGGCAGGTGTGCATGCTGCCCGCACGGGCGCGAGACGGCTCCAAGCCTCTTGGGGGCTGAGTGGCTGGCTGCAGCCCAGACGCCCCTTCTGCCCGGAGCTGGGCGAGGTCGTGCTCTGAGAAAGAGCGGTCCCGCTTCAGGGTCACCTCCCCACACGGAGACTCTTCCTCCTGCGGACACACCAGACCCAGGCCTACCCTCACCACTCCACCCATAGCACGACCTGCCCGTGCCTGCACTGGGGCCACTGGGGCCACGGGGCCACCCTGCACCCACAGCCCAGTCCAACTGTTCTCTGGACAGGAAAGGCAAGTGGTCCCCAAACCAAACCGTTCCCTGCAGCCTCTGGAAAGCCCTGGAGAGGAGAGGCCTGGCATCAGGTGGAGCCTGCTGAGGTGGTCACCAACCCGGCCTTCCCAGTTCAGGGGGCAGCGAGGACAGGCTGGGAGCCCTGCTAGGACATGTTGGCTTTTCACCTCGACCAGGGGGCTGCTCAGCTTCCCTCCCAGTCCCAAGATGACAGTCCTTTCAGTGCCGTGGGAACAGGGGCCTCAAGGCCACTGTCCCTGTCATCCTCTGGTTCCCACCATGCTTGTGCCCAGGACAGGACACCAGCATCAGGGAAGGGTGCTGCCAGGGGTCCTGAGCAGTGGACACCGCAGCTGGAGGCTGCACCTGGGTTTGCTCGGCCCCTTCTCACCTCCTACCCCCCCCTTCCTCCCTCCCTTCTGTCTCTTCAGGCGCCTGCGGGGTCTGACCTCCGACGTGTTCATCTCCTCCATCTCTGCCAGTGTGGGCGCCTTCAGCAGGACCCGGGGCCTTGGGCGTCGGGCACAGCTCCCAGCGTCCGTCAGGGACAGGTTGATGCAGGAAGTGGACTTGACATCCCCAGAGCAGGCGTTGAGGATGCAGGGCAGAGAGCCAAACCCTGGGTGCGGGGGCAGGACGGGAGGTGAGGGAGGGCGCAGGTCGAGAGGTGAGGGGTGGCAAGGAGGGGGCATCCCTGGCTCACCCCGGCCACCCCAGCGCTCGGCGGCCACGGGGCGCAGCCTCCGCTCCTGCTTGATCTCCTCCAGGATCTTCTCGTGCAGGGTCCTCTGCTTCTGGGGCAGGGGGCGGAGCCTTCTCTCCGAGACCTGTGGGGGTGTGGCAGTGCAGGGTCCAAGGGGTGCGAGCCAGCGGGCACAAAGTTGGGGAGAACCACCAGGAGCCCACACATCAGGGAGCAGAGAGGTGCCCATTGAGCTCCTGGGGCACCTCCCTCCGCAAGAACTCCAGGCCGCCCTCCTGGTGGGAGGCGGGGGCGGGGGCGGGGCTGTTGGTGAGGAGCTGACACCTGCTTCAGTGGAGGCCGGGAGCGGATGAAGTCCAGGATGAGTTCGTGCGCGTCCTTCTTCACCCTGGGAGGGATGTCCCCATCGACCTGTGGGGAGGCGAGGAGACCCGGACCGTGAGACCCCCTGGGGCTGTCGGCTGGGGCGGGGCCGGGAGGGTCTCGCTGAACCGTGAGCAGGACCAGGCCCTCGCAGCCTCCTCCGGTGGCTCCCCAGGAGCTCCTGGAGTCCGGGGCTCTTCCCAGGGAATGCGGGCAGGGTGGTCGTGAGAGTCGGATGAACTGGCACATTTGAAATTCTTAGAGTGGGCCCTGACTGCTGCTTGGTGGGTTGGGTGATGTTTATTCTGAAAAGTGCAGGGTCGCCGGTGCAATTCCAGGTCAGGGCACCTGCCTGGGTGGGGCAGGTTTGGTCCCCTGACAGGGTGCTTACAAGAGGCCCCTGATTGGTTTCTCTCTCACATCGATGTTTCTCTCCCTCTCCCTTCCTTTCCCTCCCTCTAAAAATCAATAAGATCTTTTAAAAGTAAAAACATTCCTAGAGCGATGCCAGCATCCGGCAAGGGCCATAGAAGCATCATCACACTGGACGATCCTGTAGCCTCAGCTCCCAGCCCTGGTTCTCCAGAGCCCATGACTAAGCTCTCCCTGCCCTTGACTCACTGAGTCCCCGGTGCGACCCTGTGAGTCTGGGCCACATCTGCCGACTCCCACTGGGACCCTGGCTCAGCTTGGTTGCCCGCACATGGCAGGTGGGGCGGCCTGGCAGCAGCAGCCGGGGCCTGCTCACCATGACCTTGCGCAGCTTGTAGTTCCTGGCGCGGATGTCCTGCATCAGCATCTCGAAGGGGGTGAGCTGAAACTCGGTGGGCAGCGGGTTGAACTCCTGCTCCTGCACCTTCTTGAGCTTCACACCGTGGCGAAGTTCCCGCATGAGCTGCACCCAGAGCCGGGCCTGCACCCCGAGGAGAGGAGGATGGCCCTTAGCCACAGCAGGGCTCCCCGGGCCCCCTCGGCTCCGGTCCTCAGGGACCCTGGACGGGGGTGGGGGTGGCGCCCTCGTCTCACCCAGTCCGTGTGCCCCAGGTTGTCAAGCTCCGCCAGTGGCTGCTCCGCCCGAGGCTCGTCCTCCCGAAGTTTCTGCAGCATCTGTGCAGGGGGGGAGGTGGCAGATGGCAGCTTGGGGGACAGGCACCTGCCGGCCATTCGCTCGGGCCCTGCCCTTACCACACCAGCTGTGATTCCACCAGTAAGACAAGGGCTTCGGCTTGGGGGCTCAGAATAATATCTGGGGAAGCTGAGACGTCGGCCATGGAACCCACGGGACCTGTGACATCCCATCACTGCCTCCGGCAGCTTCTGCTGGGCAAGCACACCTTCCCTGGTCTGCTGCGCACCCCCAGCGAGGCGAGGGGCCCTCCACACACGGCTCAGAGCCCCGCTCGCCTGCGCCTGTGAAGCGCTGTTCCTCAGACCTCAGCCCACGGCCCCTCCTCAGGGGTGCCTTTGCTAGCCTCCTGCCCTGGGCCATACGCACCCACCCTCCCAGGGCACCCCGGACCCAGCCAGAGGTCTGCACAGATCTGCTTCTGTGACTGTTGTCTGCACTGTCGACTCCGAGAGGCCAGGCCACACCTTCTGTGGTTCCTCCTCACGTCGGTGTCCCTGTCTCCTAGTACAGAGTGACACGTGCCAGGTCTCGAGTGTTGTTGGATGGAGGGGAGTCGGGGGAGGCCTGGGTGAGCGAGAGAGTGAGCCCCTGGAAAATGGTCACGGGCCTGTACTGTTTGAACTGGGGAAAATGCCACCATTGTGGCCAGGGCCCAAGAAGGACACCGGGGTCGTCAGGCAGCTCCTGCGCTGAGAATCTGGGAAGAAGCTGCCGGGTCTGCTGCCACCATTGTCCTGGGTCTTGGCAGCTTCCGGGGCCTCTGTTCTCACCAACCCCTGAACCCCCACCCCGGAGAAGCGTCTGCCCTTTGGCACACAGTCCTTCCCCCTTCTAAGACAGAACCGGTTTCCCTGGCTATAGCCCCAAGTCACTTGCCAAACTGCTTTGGAACACTCTAGAAAACACCGCCAAGTTCCTGAGAAGCACAAGGTGTGTGAGTCTAAAAATAGACTATGTGTGACCTGGTGGTCCCTGTGGGCGTAGGGAATGAAGGTGTGCCTCCCATTCTCCTGCAGTACGTACACCTGTCCCCGAGCAGGCTGTCTGCCCAAAATGCCTGACAGGCTTGTCCCACAGAGAGACCCTCCTCCCTCTGCGCCCGCCACCAACTCGCCGAGCCTCTCCTGGGTCTACTGCTGGGTCTTTGTGCTCTTGCTAAAGAAAGAGCTCCTGGCGCCTGGGTCAGGAATCGACTCTTAACAGAATGGAGGCTTCAGAGCACCCACTAATTAGGGCGTTAGAAGCACGTCTCCACGATGCTGAGGAGTGGGGTGGGAGGCCAGCAGGGGCCGAGGACCCAGCCCACCTTGGGTCATCGACTGGGCCGCAGACCAGGCCCAGGAGGCTCAAGTGGCAGCTCTAACTGGTCCTGCACTGAGTCCCCGGCATCAGTCAGAACAAGCCTGAGAGCCTTCTCAGGCCCAGAGCGCCAGGGACACTGCCCAGAACACTTCAGGTGGGAGGAGAAGAGACCGCACCCATCATGGGTCACGGCGAAACCAGGGGCCAGCATCAGTTAATTCCAAAAACATCTTCTGCCACTTGTGCAACAGAGGGAAGCTAAGGCCCCTGACTTCTCCCAAGTGTCCATTTTCTCATCTGTGAGAGGCCGGTGTGAGGCAGGGGTCCCTGTGCACGGAGACCCCCATTTCAAGGAAACACCTCAGTTCCTTCCAAGGGCGAGGCCCGGAGAGGTGAAGGGCCAATTGTCAGCTCCTAACACTGAGACCCCCAGGGCCAGGGCAACCCTGAGGGAGAAGCCCCCCGAGAGCCAGGGGAGGCCCCAGCCCTGCCCGGTACTGGCTGTGACTTGGGGTGAGGGAGAAAGCCTCTCGGAGCCTCCACCTGCTCCTCTGTAAAAGGGTGACAGGCACGAGGGGCCTGGAGAGCAGCGTCGGCCATCACCGGCAGCAAATGCCTGGGCAAGTGTCCCTCACATAACTGCCTGTGGCCCCAGGGCTCCCAGCCCACGGAGCACCTCTGTGGGTCCAGGCTGCAGGGAGCAGGGGCTGGCTGCCTTTAGCATCCTGTCTTCAGGTGGAGCCAGCCTGCCCAGGTAAGCTGGAGGCGGGAGGTCGGGCACCGGGGAGGTTAAAGACCCCGCAGGAGTGGGGTCATGGAGCCAAGAGGCTGACAGGCTTTTAGGCAACTCTCTGAGCCTGTTCTCTCTGTGCAAAACTGGGTAAGAAGATGTGAGGGGCACCTTACAGCCTGCCAAGGTTTAGAATGGCGCCTGCTGGACGGACAGAAGGACAGAGTGACCCACACTCGGAGGGGGCACAGACAGCCATGCCCTAAGAATGACCCCTCCCCAGCCCTCTACCACCCTCTACCTCTACCCTGCACCAGAGGCAGCACCTACGTCCACCACCTCCTCCTCCTCCTGTGACCCCTCCACACGCTGGCCCTGGGCCCGCCCCCTCCACGAGCTCCGCCCCATGGCACACCCCCTGAGCACCGCCCCCCTGTGCTCACCTCCTTGGCCTCACGAACTCTGGCGAGGAAAGCCCGCAGCTCCAGCGTCTCCACGAACAGCGCCCGGCACACCGCCTGGTAGTGGGCCTGGGCGCCCCGCGGGTCCGTCAGGCGCGCTGCGCACAGCCGCATGGCCTGCGCGAAGGTGCGCACGACGCGGGGGCTGCCTTCCACCTCCTCCTCCTCCTCAGGGGCCCCATAGCCCTCGTCTGCCACCCCGCAGCCACCGTCCTCGTCATCATCGCAGTCGCTGTTGGCCATCAGGTCGATGAGCTGCTCCAGCTGTGGGCTGAGCTCCCGCTCCTCGCTCTCGTCCAGCCCCCAGTCCAGCGCCCGATACACAGCGAAGCCCAGCGACTGCACCATCTGCAGGACCGGGTGGGGGGTCAGATGGGGCCACTGGGAACCTGAATGACAGGACCCAACAGCAAAGGGAACAGCCAGCCATGGGCCACAGGGGACCACCGTGGGACCGCCAGAGCAAGCCACGGGTGGCCGGTGTGCCCACCACACAGCGCAGCCACTGCGGAAAACACGGGCCGGTTCTCACCATTCGAGCAGGCATTCACCACTAAACGCCTCTCCCGGACACGTGACCCAGAGGAAGGAAAACCCTCACAAGGACTGGCCCCGAAATGCCCCTGGCGCCCAACCCAGGAATGTCCAAACGTCTTCCACCGGTGGACGGCACACAGGCGTGACCCATCCTTACAGCAGAAACGAGGCACCAAGCCCCCCCCCCCCAGCCATTGTCTCACACCCTAAACGCCTGGTGGGGGCCAGCGTGAACCGGCCCAAAGCCTCCATTGGTTCGGGCCCTTCGGTCTCATGTGCAGCCACAAAAAGCAGCTCAGTGATTCCAGACCCGGGCCGGCAGGGGCGGGGCCTGGCCTGGACTTGAACTTCGGGCCATGGAAGAGGTCGGGTCCATGTGGTGAAGTGGGGGTACATTTGTCAGAACCTGTCAAGCTCAAGTGTAAAACACACCCCCATACATTTGATTACCAGAGACACCCTAATTAAATGTCATCTCCTAATGTAACGTAACCCTACCTTGTAAATCTGAGGCGAAAGGCCTGCATACCCAGTGCCTGCTGTGGCGACAAGCCGCTTCACTGTGCACGATCGCATTTGACAGCTGAACTCGTGTACAACTGACCTCCTCATTTAGGCATTTAAACTGCATGTTAACTTCAAGGTGTGTAAATTTAGCCTAAGAAAGAAAACCCTAAGAAATAACTGCACCTGAGAGGTGGGGGGGGGGGGGGGGGTGGAGCTACTGGGGGAAGAAGCCTTGGTACCAGTTGAAATCATGAGGCTGTTCTGTTTGCTTCATATAGGCTTGAAATTCTCCATAATAAGTTTTTTTAAAGGCCATCAGCACGTTAAAAATCTGTGCATCTTATAGTGCAGAGATGTTTTAACTCAGCGTTCCTCAGTTCTTCCTGGCCGTGAACCCCACTTTCAGGGACTAGCATGGACGTCTGTGGAACCAGAGTCCCATGGGCACATCCAAAGCCCAGGGAAGCAGCCCCAGGGATGCAGCCGATGCAGCCGAGCACTGAGGGCAGAGGCTGACCGCAGGGATGCTGCCGCCCTGTGCTCATGGCAACGGCACGGAGACACACACAAAGGGCGACGGCCCTGCTGTGTCGGGCACCTCGCTGAGCTCGTGGCCACCGGGCCTTGCCTCACCATGCCGGGGCACCTCTCGAGTCACAGGCAGGGCACAGAGGCACACGCCCGGCCCCTTGACTGAAACTAGCAACTAGCTGAGCTGAGCCTGAGGCTCGGGTCGGTCCACGGCCCATTGGAAGGCAGCTCGGTGGCAGGTGGAGCCACGTGCTCACCAGGGCAGCTGCCACTCCCCCACCACCTGGCCTCAGAGGAGCCCCCCGGGCAGGGGACGGGGTGCAAGACCAGGATTCTCTGTCCTGCAGACATACCTTGGGAAGCACCCTAGACCTCAAGGGACCTGGGGGCCAGCTGGGCTCAGGGTGACAGGTGGGAAGAGAAGGCTCAGCTAGTCCTCGGAGACCATCACCTCTCTGATTTAGGTGGGGGCATGGGCAGGGTCACACCCTGGAATCCAGGGTCAAAGGGCACAGCCCAAGGCCTAATGGCTGCTGACGCCTGACAGGCAACCACAGGGCCCAGGAGCCCCCGGGGCAGTGGGCTGGGAGCCACCTCATGCCCCTCAGGAGACTGCGTGACCTTCACACAAACTCCCATCTATTCCTTCAAGGAGATGGGGGCGGAGAAACTTCATGCCCACTCTGGGTCTGCCCCACAGCCCTGCTGGCCTTGCTGGTGGCTCTGACCAGCTCTGCCCAGTGAGGAGCGCTCTGCCACATGGGGCAATACAGACCGGGGGGAGTGATGGAAAAGCCCCCAGCCCCAGCAAAGCACAGCACCTAACTACCAGCCTCTTCCTCTTTGTCCAGGCCCCTGGCCTCAGTGAGCTCCACAGCAGTGAAAGGGTCAACTCCCTGCAAGCCTCTTATCCGATAGCTTCTGTGCCCCCGCATACCTGGAAGGCTGGCACTGGCTTTCCCTGAGGGGAAATCTGGGCGGCCGGCCAGGCTCTTTCTCAGGCCCTGCAGCCCTGCCTTTGGCGGGGGCACCAGCCGGGGGCCAGCCCAGGAAGAAAGGAGCTACAGCAGTTGGCCGGCTCCAACTCAGGGCCCAGGGAGAATCCAGGGGGCGTTGCAAGTGTCCCTGGGCACATTTTCTGGGGTGGGGCTATCGGGCTAACGTGCGGGCCCCCAGACACAACAGCCCGGACAAAGTTCCTGAGAAAGGGCTTGGAAACTGGTAACCACAGGGCTCCTTGGCGGTGGGAGGTGTGAGTGGCGGGGGCAGCCCTAGGGACTCGCCCAGGAGGTGGGGAGCAACCCTGGGTGGTAGATAAATAAATTCCAGAATATTATGCAGCAGCGAAGGGACTACCAGCCACGCGAAGTGATGAAGCTGAGTCTTGAAAACATCGTTTTTTCCAAATTCCAGAAAACTATACAGGGTGGGGCCAAAGTAGGTTGACAGTCGTTCGTGTGGAAAATAATACAATAAATAATTCATAATAATATGAGAATAAACTCTGAGTACTCATGACGGTGACCCCCACTTGCCCACCCTACACGCAGAGGATGCAGGGCCCCAGCAGTGCCAGGGGTGGGGCGTGGGTCCTGACCCTGACCCCAGGGAGAATGGCCAGCAGCTTTGGGGTGGTTTTGTTACTGTTGTTGAACCCTCCACAGCCGGTGACAGAGCCGCCTTCGGCCTGTGCTCATCCCCACTATGTATAGCCTGTTTAATATATAAATGTGCATTTGCACAGAACTTTTTTTAAAAGGCAGTGGAATGATAAACATCAAGTTCAGCACACACTGGGGAGGGGCAGGTGAGTGGGAGATGCCGGGGTCTGAGCTCAGGGTGGGGTGGGGGTTCCCAGGCATTGCTCACGGGGCTGGTTTCCTCTGTGCTCCCTGACCCACGCCTTGCCCACACTGTGTGCCCGGCGACGACCCCACACACCACGTCGCCTTCACTCCCTCAGGGAGGAAGGAGCAGGGGTCAGGTATCTTGGCTTCCCCTCCCCTGCAGGGCCAGGCGGCTCACTGGGGTCCAGACCACACACCTGGGTTCTCTCTCCCCCACCCACCCTGGGGACAGGATCTCGTCACCAGCCCCCTGCAAGGAAGCCCGCGCAGACACAGAAGCAATGGTGTAATGATACAGGTTAGCTTGAATATGTATCAAGTAAACGTAAAAACTGTTTTACCAGTACCTGGGCTTCTGAGTTGGCCGGTGACACCACCATGGTTGCGGGCTCTGCAAAAGAGAACAGATGACAGGTCGGGACATGCCCCATTCTGCAGACCCGAAGCAGGGGGCCGCCCAGCCACCCTCCCCTCGGGAACAAACGGCGCGTCTCCCAGAGCTTCCTTCACCGCACTGGGAAGCTCACAGGGGGCTGAGCCACTAGTCACTCGGACAGACGCCTACAAGGTCCAGCTGCAGACTGGACGTCCAGGTGCACGGTCAGGACAGTGAGGCAGGCCCTGCCCACTCACAGCGTGGAGCTGCATGCGGAGTTCCAGCAGCTGAGCTGGGTGAGTGGCATCGGCCCCCCTCTGGATCTGGGGGGGCGGTTCACCCAGACTGCCAGCCCCCCATCAGAGCCAGAGTGCCCCTTTGAAGCCCAGGTGCTAAGTCAGGCTCTGCCCGACTTAGTATTTTATTATGCTTCTTACCCAGCGTGGCACTGAGCTGGCATGTGGACATGTGGCTGCTCATGTGCCCCAAATACAACCCGGGAGGAAGGTGCTTTCAGTGCCCATTTCACAGATGAAGAAATGGAGGCCTACTGGGGAGAACTTGTTTGTCCCAAGGTGTCACAGGTAGTAGGTGGTGGTGCAAGGGAACCCAGACTTGAGCTCTAACCGCTACTGAGCCTGCCTCCCGGGGCCTCCCAAGAGGCCAGGCTGGATGAGACGGGACCCAGTGCTCCCCAAACCTTCCCTGAACTCAGTAGGTGGAGCTGCACTCGGTGTGAGCTTCTGCTGCCTTACATCCCCCAGGAATGAGGTGGGGAATAAAGACACGACCCATTAAATTGTCCGCTCAGCGAACCTGCTCACTGCATGAATATTTTCAAAATGCCACCACGGTCCAGGAAGATTGCCAAGATAAGGGGACTTTGCATCACATTAGATGCAAAGAAGCATCACATTAGATGCTGACCATTAGAAGAATGGAAAGCACCCGCCCCCAGGGTCGGTGGGATTCCAGCAGGCTGCTCACAGGACACTGTGACAGTTCGTGGCCATGACTGGGTGGAGGCCGTGGAGAAATCAGGCTCAGAGCAAAGGTACTTCCTGGGCCAGACCCGTGCCTGGAATTATTTTGATGACCAGGAAGGGGTGTGGCCAGCCTGCAGGGCTGCTTACAAACTGAGCCTGTCCTCCCATCAACAGGAAGCTGTATGGTTGGAATAATTTTAATGCTTTTGTCCCTGGCTGAAATAGTTCATATGTTAACAAAAGTGCTCGTGAATCTAACTGTGTGTCAAGTTGCAAGAACCTGGCGAGTCTCTGGGTTTGGATGAGCAAGCTGCCCCTCTGGGGGGTCTGGGGCGATGGAGGCTGTGCCCAGCTCTTTGCACAGAACCCTTTGAAATGACGTGTTGTGGCTTCAACCCGTGCTGCCACCTCCTGGAGCTCGGTGCTGTCATGTCCACTTTACAGATGAGAGCACTGAGGTTCAGACAGATAGAGAAATGTAGCCAAGACCACAGAGCCAATAAATGGCTGGGCTGGGAACCACATACCCTAAAATGTCCCCTCCCCACCCACCTGGAACACCCCGGCACAACCGAGTGAAGCTACAATAACTCGTGACCAAGGTGGTCACCCAGCATCACGCCAAGTGGCGTTTGTTCCTTTAGAAAATCACCCCCGTGGAGACCAGAGGCGGCCAGATGGAGGCAAGGGTTGGCAGCGGGGGCTGCGGGGCGGATGCCCCACTGAGGTGGTGCTACAGCCAGGAGCCAGGACACCTGGTGCCCCGGACAGTGCCTCTGTCCCTGCAGGGGACTGGATGTACTACGGAAGGAGGCCTCCAGTTTCTCTTCTACAAAACCCCAAATATGGAGAAATCAAGCAGCTCCCGAGTTTTCTTTGCAGTGACCCTCTGTCATAGAAAAGACGGAAGAATTTGCTCGTGGGGACTGCAGCCTGGAGGCCCCTAGAGCAGCTTCAGGTGAAGTGCTCCCACCTGTGTGGCAGGTGAGGGGCAGGAGGGGGCTCCCCCGCAGCCTCAGCCCCCATCCACCTGGGGCCAGGGGTGGGAGTGAGGGGCACCATTCAGGCAAGGGTCCTACCTGCCTCTGCCACCATGGCTGTGACTCTGGGGTCTACAGAGTGAAAGGGCACCTGCCCCACCTAACGAGAAAGAGAGCAGACGCTTCCCAGGGCACGACGCCCTGCAAGGATGTGGACCAGCAAGATGGCAACAATGAGTGGCGAGCGTCCTGCCCAGGACTGCACAGGCCTGGGGTCAGGGCAGCGAGTGGCCGTGGAGGAGACCCCAGGCATCTGGAGGGAGGCTGGCCACAGCCTGGGCTGCAGCAGGCTCTGCAGGCGGGACCCCCAGGGGTCTCAAGTGCTGACAGTCACTGCAGACGGAACAGTAGAGGGGTCTCTCAAGCCCGGGAGGCTCCCGCCTGTCACATCTCAGGCTTAGAGCAGCCACGCGGCCACATGGCAGGGCAGACATAGGCCCAGGCCGCTGTGAGAATGTGGCCCCCCCCAGTGCTGGCGGACAGGACACCAGCCCCCACGCCTCTCCAGTCACACCCGCTCACCACCATGCAGGACACTGGCGACCACTCATGGCCGTGCCCCTCCTCACAGAGAAACGCTGCAAACACATGGACGACATGTCCACACAGGGGACCCTGGACAGACACCAAGAAGAAGGAGATGTCCTTTATAACGAGACGGATCAGCCTGCTCTCAAGGGGAGTAGGAGGCAGCCCCCTACGTTCGCAGGGTGGGTGCCCTGAGCCTTCTGCAGTGAGGGGGCTCCCCTCTCACTTCCTGAATTGTGTGCATGTGTGACAGTGAGCGAAGCCACCATGTCACCTCCTCACACACACTCAGAGCTGGGGGTTGGCGGGGAGACAGGGCCTGGAGCCAGTCAACCGGTGTGTGGCGGGCACCTCCTCTCATAAACAGGGCGTCGCCCACCACACCGGTTACTGGAGAGATTAAAGAAACATGCACCGAAAGTCTGGTGTCTAGCAAGCTACCAATAAACGCCGTTCCACCAACAGGAAATGAATCTTACAACATAAGTCAGGTGTCACCCGAGACCAAGCGCTGGTCTCTAGTAATGACTGCTGGAGGCAGGGCGGGACGCCCACCCGAAACCATGGAGCTCGTGTGTTTGTTCAGCAAACAGAGAGAGCTCTTTGGGTCCAAGGCGGCCGCACTTCGCTCCGCCACCGCCCCAGGGCGGGTGAGCTCAACGTGGGTGAGTTTGCCACGAACTCACACGTCACCCACAGGGTTGCCTCCCTGCGAGCAAGAACCCAGGACCACCAGGCACCGAGTGAATTCCGGGGGGCCAAGTCGGGGAGACATGTGTGGGCCAGAGCTGCCCTCCCTGAGACAACCCAGGCCCAGTCTCCGCCTCTCCACCAAGTTCTAGCGCCTCCGCTCCCAGGAGCCCCCACACCAGCCCCTGCCCAGGCTGGGAAAAAGCCCAGGGAGACCCCACCGGTGGTCACAGCAGATGGGCCGCAGCCCAGAAAGCGATGTTCCAACTGCCTGTCCTTCTGCCCAGCTAAGGACGGTGGAGGGAGCTTCTCAAGCGGTTTTCAGGGACTCTGTCCTCTAGGCCACTGCTGCCCAACAGCACAGCCAGGAGACAGGGCAGGGGGGCTTGCCCAAGGCCACCTGGCTGAGACCCAGCCCCCCACTAGCCTGGCTCTGCAGACCGTGACTGGGCCCCCTCTCTGACCAGTTGAGTTGTCCTGCTACTGGAGGCGTTCCAGCAACAGCAGGGGGACCCCTCCTTAAGGTGTGGCCCGGGGGATGCACGCACAGGACACCAGTGGCCCCAGAGAGGGACCTGCAGCGTCAGCATCAGTGGGACTTGTCAGAAATGCACGTTTGCGGGCCCATTCCAGGCATGGGGGGACCTGCAGCAGGGTCATGGCACTCGACGTGCCCCTGAAAAACAGCCCCTGAAAGTGAGGGGACTGTAATTCCAGAACCCGTGTCCTGCCGATGCTGCTGAGGAGGAAGTGTCCACCCCCCGTGGCCCCCCTCCTCGGTTCCACCAGCCTGTCCGCGCCCCAGTCCTAGGCCTGCGCAGGACCTGTGACCCTGGGGCCTGGGGGAGGCAGAGCAAGTGAGGTTGCCAACCACCTGACCTCTAACTGCAAGAGAAGGAGTCTGTGTCCAGTTCATATGGGTCAATGTGTGTGGTTTGTTACTGCAGCCAGGGAAATGCCCACACTCTGCTTTTAATCTGCCCCCACCGGCTCCCACTGTCCAGTCCCTGGGGAGGGGCTGTGACACCGGCGCCCGTCAGTGGGGACAGATGTGCTGACACTGAACAGACAGGGTGCCAGATGGAGGTGAAGACAGCAGGGGCACTTCCTCCGGGTGCCCCGGCTCACTGCAGGCTGATCTGCCTGGTCCCCTGGGAATCTATTCCCAGGCAGACGCCCTGGAGGCCAGACGCCCTCTGAGCCGCCCAACAGCATCCGAGTGAAACCCCAGTGTCTTCCTGTGGCCGATACTCACCGGCATGTTTGCTTAAATGCCTACATCCCGGGACCAGATCAACCAGTGCCACAGTGCTGCCTTTGTGGGGCCACGAGGACCTGGGGTGGGGACGGGGCGGCAGGACCAGGGTCCCAAAGGCGGCAGAGGGGCTGGAGCTGTACCCACCATAAGCCAAATTGCAAGGGTGCACAGAGACCCCAGGGACCCTGTCTCAAGAGTTGAAGCCTCTCCTGAAAGCCCAGGGCAGGATCTGAACACGGCAGGTGGGCAGGGCGGTCAGCCCAGGAGGCAGGTGGGTGGAGCGTCTCCTGGGGTCATCCATGCAGGGAGGGTCAGGATTGCTAGGGGTGGCCTTCCTGTGAGGTCACTGCTGCCACGAGTGAGACCAAATCAGGACTGCTATCTGCAAACACACCCGGCTCTGTCACACCCATCGGGTGCCCTTCTCTCACCTGCACCTCACCCCCCACAGCGCCAGGCCCTCAGCACACCCGCAGCCCGACCAGCCCCGCACCCGGTGCTCTGAAGGGGGTGCCGGGTGTCCTCTGGATGGAGGGCATTTTACATCAGCTAGACATGTGCATGGCAGGCAGCAGCCCATTCCGGTCAGGGCTTGTGTGTGGGAACCTGCGCCCATGTTTCCGCGTGTGCCTGTGTGTCTGAGAATGTGTGTGCGTGTCTGAGTGTCCACGTGCCTGCACACACGTGCTTCCTGGGCCCAGGGTAGATGCAGGCTCTTACCTGTGCTCCCCCACCCGTGTCCCCCACTCCACACACGGCACTGACACCCACTTTATGGAGGAGGAGTGGGGGTACTGGGGAGACGCCCCTCCTGCTCTCCAGCACTGCTCTGTCTCTAGCCGCTGGGTAAAGAGGTGGGAAAGAGATTCCTGGCTCCATGGGGCTCATGACCCAGGGACGCCCAGTGCCCTGTGGGACTGACTGGGTTTCTGCGCCGGGAAAGCCTGTGTCCACGCAGCCTGGGCTGCGCAGGGAGCTGCCTGCAGGGCCTTCGCCCCGAGACTGCGGTGCTTGAGGGTCAGTGGCCTCAGAACCAGAGGCGGAATGGAAGGTACAGGACTGGCTGGTGCGACCTGGCTGACAGGTCACGTGAGGCACTTGAGCATCTGAAGAGTGGAGCCTACAAAAAGCTTTAGCACCAAAACTGACAGGAAAAACCAGGAAAGTACGGCAGCCGGTAGATTAGCAGAAGCAGAATGGAGACGAGGGAGAAAAGGGATGAAGGGGTGGGCTCAGCTGTGCGGTTATCCACCCCCAGCCTCAGGGAGCCCGGAGGAAAGGACGCTTCCCCAGCAGACACAGGCCCGGAGGGCAGGGGCCTCTCTGTCACGGTGACGGCCAAGCCCTGCCTCAGGTGGACAGATGCTGCCGAGCGCATGGCGGGGCCGCCCGGTCACTGACGGAGCTGCCCCGGGATGCGACCTTTGTCACGGGCATTAGCTCCCGGCAGTTCACCGCAGGGCCCGGCCAGCTCCTGCCTCCGTCAGACAAGGAAGCCCCTCCCCTCTGTGGGCTCCTTCATGGCCTCTTAAAGGTGCCTTCACATGTCAACATGTTTCCATTTTCCCACTTTGGAGAAAAGGGGCTTCCAAGGGTCATGAAGAAGTCTTCAGACTGAAGCTGAGGGAGCTGCTTCTCCCTGCTCTCCCCCTGCAGGTCCCCGTTGGCCTGCTGAGATGCTATTAGTCATTCCCCTAAGGACGGTGGAGTTCTGCAGCTGATCTCCTGAAAGTTATTGTAAACATTTACTTATCCAGAGAAAGTTTCTCTGATTGCTATTTACAGTGAGAAATACCTGCGCACACCCCTCCGAACGCTGGGGTGCCGCCTCTGACAGACAGCTGGTCTGAAGTCCAGCTGATTCACGAAGGGTCAGTAAGGGCAGAAAAGAAAGTTCGGGTAATCCGTTTTCCTTCATCTTGAAACGGCTGCAAGTCACTAACCTTATCTACCTTTACGACATGTTTATGCACAGAAACCAAAGACCGTAATGACTGGAAAATTCAAAACTGGGCTCCCTGATGTCACGGGCTGGTGCCGCCCCATAAAGCTCGCTCAGCGCAGGAACGAGCAGCTACGAGTGAGCTTTGAACCCAGCCTGGGTTTCCAGTCCAGCACATGGAGGCAGCAGAAAATGCTCCTGGTCTTCAATAACCAGGAAGAAGGGGCTGATATGTCCCTGGGGGCTGAAGAGACGGACCGTGTCTGACCACAGCCGACAGCCCTCTCGGCACACTTGGGGGAGTGCCAGTGAGACACGCAGTGTGGCTCGCTCACCGTGCGAGGGGTGCAGGGTGCATCTCTGTTCTAACCTGCTGCTGGGATTGGCAGGAAACTACTTACACTCTGGACCTCAGTTTCACCATCTTTAAAATCAGAGGGTCAGACCAGACCGGGCAGGCCCCCGCTGTCCGGTCCTGCGGTGCCCAGAGCCAGACCTTGGGCTACATGGTCTCCAAGGGTGGGGCAGAGCACTAAGATGGTGTTTTTATCAGAAAAATACAGCATCAGGAGAACCAACCTTTGTGAATATCTAACTCCAGGGCCCACAGGCGAGAGGCAGTGTGGGGCATGGGGCTCCCAGGCCCGCCTCTGAAGAAGGCTTACTGAATGCGGAACCCAAGCCCTGCCTCCTTCGATGGGACTGGGTGTGCCTGAGCCTCGGCTCCCCGGGAGTAAAATGGGGGTACCCCTCCGTGCCGACTCTTACAATTCTCACCGGCATCCCATGGTGGGGGTGGAAGCACAGCACGGGGATGACCAGGGGGCACAGCCATGGTTCCAGGGCAGGGTGCAGCAGCCTCCCCTCCCCGAGGTTACCAGAGAGTCTGTGCCCTCCCGGGCTTTGCCCTGGTCCTTCCCATCCTCCACGACACCTGCCTGAAAGGGTCTCCACAGACCCACAGCTCCTGGGGCTGCAGAGGCTCCAGTCTCCTCCAGCCCACGCAGCCGCTTTGTGCCCCCCACGTGTCAGCTTTGGGGGAACAGCATCACCCGCTCCATGCCAGGACTCCTCCATGCCAGGACTCCGGTTCCCCAGGGAAGAAAACAACTTTTTTCTTAAAGAGACAAAAGCCACCTTAACGCACCATGCTGAGTAGACTTTGAACACCTTCCAAGGGTTTCTTAGTGACGGTGAAGAACAGAAAAACTGCACAAGTTGTCTCCCAAGTTCTACTCATCATCCCTTGCTTTCTATTGGGGGGAGGAAACAGGGCGGGGACAACCCAGCAGGAATTCCAGGGAGACCCGCCCCTCCTCCTTTCACCATCAGGCCCTCGAAAAAAAACCCCAGGAGGACATCTGTCCTTTCCTGCCCAGGGCACCGGTGCCACAAGGGTTCCCCACCACGAATCCTGAGAGGAAGAGGCCAGGTGGGAGAGGGCGGGCGGGCCTTCGGCGCCAGGCCGGAGCTCCTCTCCTCTGAGGGCAACGTGCCCAGCTGCAGGCAGCCCCCCCAAAGCACCTGGCCCTGAAGCTGAGAGGCGGGTTCCAGAATGGGGGAGGGGCCAGGGACGGAGGTCCCGTCTCAGCAGAGTTGGGGCGGGCGGGGGGTGGCGGTGAGGGGGTCGGTTGGCTTCCAAGCCAGAAAAGGGACCCGGCCTTCCTGTCCGCAGAGAGAGAGAGAAGGCGGAGAGAAGGGTCAGAAAGGGGCGCCGGGTGCAGCCGAGGCGGGGAAGGGGGGGCGTGTGCCCTGCCCAGGAGGAGAGAGGAAGAAGGGGTCACAGCCGCTCCCCCAGGACCGACGCCGGACCGGCTCCCCGGGCCGCCCGCCACCCCAGCGCCGCCCGCCCCAGCGCCCGGCCACACCCCCGCCGGCCTCACCCGCTGCGCCGGGCTCCAGCCGCGCGCCGACCGAGCCGTCCCTGCGCAGGAGGATGTCCGCCGTGTCCCGGATGCGCCGCCGGCCGCCCGGCGCGCCCCGCAGCCCGCGGCAGCACTGGAAGCACACGGCCCACGCCTGCTCCTCGTTGATGGGCTGCTCGTACGCCTTCAGCACCTCGTCCAGGGACAGCTCCCACGGCTCCGGCTGCCCGCCGCCCGCCGCCCGCTCCCCGGCCGCCGCGCCCGCGCTGCAGCCGCCGGCCCCGGCCATGGCCGCCCCATCATCGCCCGCTGCGCGCCCAGCCGGTTTCCATAACAGCCGCGCCGGGGCAGCCGACGCACCCGCCGAGCGCGGGGGGCGGGTCCCGCGCCTCCGGCCGCTGCTTTGTCATCCTCAGCGGCCCCGCCCCCAGCGCGCGGCGCAGGTGAGCGCGGGGAGGGAGCTCCCAGCCTGGGAGGGGCGCCAGGCCGGGGGTTGCTGGAGCCGCAGCAGGGGCTGGAAGCCGGGGAGGCCGAGGGTGCGGGGCGCAAGGCCGGGCCGAGGGGAGGCCCGTGCCCCGACGCCGGTCTGTCCGTCCCGGAGATCCCGGGAAAGCCAGGCGGTGGGCGCCCACGCCCGGCCCTTCCGCAGGTCCAGAGGCCGGCTCCTAACCCAGACCACGGTGCAGCGATGGCGGGGGCCCCGCACGCTGGGCGCGGGAATGCGAGAGGCAGCCAGGGGGACTGTGACCCCCACCCCCGCGAGTGCGCGCGTACACACACACACACACACACACACACACACACACACACTCAAGATGCCCGCAGCGGCCTCTGGCGGTTACTGTCGGGCGGTGGGAGCGAGGGAGACCTCACAGCACAAAGCACTGAGTGAATGACCCTTTTCAGCAGGACAAGGGCCTGCGTTAAATGCTCCATTGTCTCCGGAAAAGTGAACGGCGTCTCAGCGCACCCGTGGGCGGAGGTTGTGCCTTCATCCCCTGCCAGCTCCCTGGTCCCGCGGGAGGATGGCACCCTGGCACCCCAGCGACGTTATCTGGGCTAACCCGAGACCCCTTCAGCCACAGGGTCAGGTGGTCAGAGTTAACAGCCAAGCGCAAGGGGTGAAAAAAATGCCAGTCAGGCCCCAGCCTGGACCCCCTCGCAGCACAGGACATGCAGGTTCCTGGAGGCTCTCCCCGGCTGGGGTGAGCCCGGGGTTCTGAAGTCCCCGAGACTCTGAGCCATGCAGTGATTTCCCCTCATTCCAAGGAGACGTGGGGCAGGCTATCACCTGGGGTCCTCTGGGTGTTTAGTCTTCAAACAAAAAGGAGTTTGACAAAGACGGGCTGTTCAGAGGCTCTGTGTTTGGTAGCTGGGAAACTTTCAGCTCTCCAGGCTTATTCAGTGGAAACAACAGTGTTGGCACTTTGGCAATGGCGTGCGTGGGACGTGTGCTGAGTAAATGGCACAGAGCAGCTGGGACTCAGGTGACTCTCCTGCCTAATCTCTTACACACACACACACACACACAGTTGTTGGCAGACAGACGAAGACTCGTCCAGGTCTGCCTTAGAGCGGCAGTGGTTTAGGGAAAGTGCCCCCGGACTCTCACCACAGAGCCAGGCGTGTGACTGGTGGGACACTGTCCTCCCCCGATACCATGCACTCGCTCCCGATGAGCCCACATAATGGTCAGACTCCATGGGAGTGAGGACTTCCATCTGCAGCGCCTTTGGTGGAGGGGGCGACGCTCCTGGCCAAGGCCAGGCCACCCCTGCCCCAGGGCAGTGGCTGGACAGGGAAGCGGCAGTCGTCCTGATTGGAAGCTGGGTGAGAGCAAGAGACACCTTCCCTTCAGACCCGGGTTTTGGTACCAAAACAAACACGAACAAAAAGAGAAGTAGCTTTCCTGCCTTCAAAGGGCCTCAAGCCCCCCTCTGTGACCACACGCCTTTAGGATCTCATTTGATGAGCAGGTGTCTTGTTAAGGGCCTTGTGACAACCCACACCTGCTGACCCAGTGGCCTTGGCGGTCACCTGTGTAAGGGTGCAATGCCAGTTATGATCTGGCATTGATCATTTAAGTTTTTTAAAATATATTTTTAAATATTTTATTTATTTATTTTTAGAGAGGGGCAGGGAGGGAGAAAGGAGAGGGAGGGAAACATCAGTGTGTGGTTGCCTCTCACGTGGCCCCCACTGGGGACCTGGCTCACAACCCAGGCATGTGCCCCAACGGGGAATCGAACCTGCATCCCTTCAGCTTGAAGCCCGTGCTCAACCCACTGAGCAACACCAGCCAGAGCCGATCATTTAGGTTTTAAAAACTAGGTTTTACTTATCTCTTGGTGTCTGAAGGTTTGCCCCTCTGGCTGTGACCAAAGCGAGGAAGCAGAAGCACCAGTTACCTCTCCATATGCCCCTAGAAACGTGTTTTTCCCTCCCAGGTCACTTACCACACATCTCCCCCAGAAAAAAGTGCTGCATGAGACCTAGAAATGGCCCTGGAAGGTGAGAAGTAAGTCCAACGAGGCCTCCAGGGCGTGGTGGTGGCAGAGAAAGGGACTCCAACTTTGTAGCCTGGATGCCACTGGAGAAGACACCATTTGGGCTACCTCTGACAACCAGGGGCACCAGGGTCCAGGCTGGTTGGTGGGAGCATTGGGGACAGTGATAAGTTCCACCCGTTAGTCACCAGTCAAGTCCGGACAACTATTTCCTTCCCACGGCTGGGCCCAAAGCAGTGCCCACAGTTTTATTCATCAGGCTGAGGGCTCTGCCGTGAGGTGCCCACATGGGTGAACAGTCATCCTCTGGGCTGCACAGAAAGGGAAGCTTCTGATGGGGGCACAGCACAGGCACCTGGTTGGGGGGGCATTCATCCATGCCCAAAGAGGCCGTAGGGTAACATTTTGCGATTTGTCCGAGGAGTGTGATTGGAATCAGAGATATGCTCGTTCCTCTATAATTTGAACTTGCCACTCGGGTTTTGGGAATAAACAGTGTCCTTCCGGCCGTTACAAGAGGCCTGGCAGAATCGATTGAGGTCAATCATTAACTCAGGTTGGAAAGCGTGGACCAAGGTCATTTCTACTTGCACCTGCTCCTCAGAAACATGTTCTTTATACTGACTGGCCTCCCAGCACAGGAGGAAGTTCCAGGGGCGGTGTCACGCCTCACTGTTAGGGCCGTGCCTGGAGACGGAATAGGAGCGTTTAGTGCTTGGAGGGCAGGAATCACTTCATCGAGCTGGCACGTCGGCTCCCAGGTGTCCGTCTCGCGCTGCAGGCCGTCTACACCCAGGCACTTGCTGAGCCCCGGCCGTGGATGTCTCAGGCCGGTTGGACAGGCCAACTGGCACCCTCCCCTACCCTGTTCTTAGGGGAAAACAGCGCGTGGAGCACCTTCCCTACAGGCGGGTGAGGTTCCCAGTAGGTGCTGATGTGGAGGGGACCCCACTGGTTGTCTTTCCCGTTCTCTGTGGGGTTTGGAGGGAGCTGTGACCGCTCTTCACCTTGGCAATGCAATGGGAGCGGCAAGCAGTTCCTGGCTGCCCTTGGCCAGGGGTGAAGAGGCTCTGGGGCCCAGACGTCTGAGCCTCTTTGCAGACATGGGAGGTAGAGGACCCTGATTCTAGGCTCCTGGAGGCCGAGAGGATAAGTTCTAGCTGGGTCCCCAGGAGCCCCATGGACAGCGCTTGCATAATTCCAGGGGTGGGGTGGGCGGGTGCAGGGCTCCAGGGCCAGAGGGGCCTCAGGGAGGACACCATGTTCGCTGAGACAGAGGTCACAGTAGTCACATACAGGAGCAAGGTTGGGTGCAAGGTCAAAGACAGTTCGAGATGAGAGGCCATGGATTCCACTGGCTGCAGCAGACCGCTCGGCTATGGAGACGGCAGTGCCAGGCTCTGGTCCCCTCACCGATTCCACTTCAGAGGGAAAAACAGGTCGGCTTCCCCCAGGGGACCCGTGCGGTGAGCAGGCAGGCTCCTGGTGCCAGGACGCAGAGGCCCCTGAATGCTCTCTTTGTCTGGCTCCTTGCGGCCAGGCTGGGCTCAGGGGTCCGGAGAAAGGGCTGAAATGTGAGAGGCCGGGGTTTTGTGCTTTAGGTTTATTTTGGGAGAACGATAACGGCTGTGAATCCCAAGGGAGCTCAGAGAGCCAGGCTGTGCCTGAGGGCTGAATGGGAGCCCAGAACAGCTCCCAGGGAAGGGCCCTGGGAGGCTCACTGCTGGCTTCTAGGCTGGTGGGGAGGGCGAGGCGGGGTGGGGCTTCCAGACCCCAGCACTGGACTCTGAGGTCCCAGGGCCAGGCCAGGATGACCACCACAGATGCGGGGCTGTCCTGTGTGAGGCCGGCCCAGAAGAGTGGGGCTTTGGGGAGTTAGCTGCTCAACCTGTAGTTAAGTGTAGGGAACGCCAGAGGACCCGGTTTGCTTTCCACCAGAGACGTTGGAGGTCATTTACGAAGTCTTGTGTTTTTCCAGTTTTCAGCAGGGAGAGCAGGGCGGGGCACTTCCCAGGCACGTTACTCACCCACCAGCTATAAGCACCCCTCCCAGTCCCCACCTCCCCCCCAGCCTGCAGTGAAGCCAGTTCCCAGCACAGCTGACACCTCTGTAAAACTGTAGAAATAATGACCAATCCATGTTGGCTGATACGACGACGTTTGAGGTGCACACACTGGCCCCAGACAGTCCCTGCCATGTGGCCCACTGACTACAAACTCACACGTCCCCTTGTCTCGCAGAGCGGGCACACCGTCCACCCCGTCCCGTGCTCTGCTCCTCACTCCTCAGCTGGTGGGGAGCTGTGTGAGTGTGTGCAGCCTCTGTGTCCTGCCGGTGGCCACGTCGACGCAGCCCCAGAGGACAGGGTCTTGTTGGCTCAGTGGCTGCTGTCCCAGGCACCCCGGGCCCTGTAAGGGAAGCGTGGATGTTGGCTTCTACAGGTGGCCCGTGTGGATTCTAAGAAACAGACTGTCTGGGTCTGTTTCACCAATAAACACTGTCCCACAGCCCTGCACACGACTGTGCCCATCCATGCAATCCCAGCGCTCTTCGATGCTTTTTCAAAAACTTCCTCTTTGTTTCCCAGTTTGAGTAATTCCTGTTTTGCTCAGCCTTTGACAAAGGCTTTCTTCATCTCTGCCTCCATACTCTTGTGTCTCATGGTCCTCCTCTGTCTGTTGGGGACCTTTCCTGCCGGGGACGTCAGCGTATTAATCGTGGTTGTTCCAACATCGGGGGCTCACCTGGGGCTGGTCCTGTTACTTGCTTTGTCTTTTAAGAGTGGGTTGATTTGGCCCTGGCCGGGTAACTCAGTTTTTTGGAGCACTGTCCCGATACAGCAAGGTCGTGGATTTGGGGGTTTGATCCCCACTCAGGGCACATACAAGAACCAACCAATGAAGGCGTGAATAAGTGGAACAATAAATCGATGTTCTTCTCTCTCTCTAAACATCAAAGTTAAATAAAAATGTTTTTTAAAAGAGCAGTTTAATTTTTTTCTTTCTCTCATAATTTTTGATTGCATGCGAAACATGTGTGGGCCAGAGGGGTCCCAGACGAGCTGTGTTTTTGTGTCTCGCGTGCAGAGCGCGTCCTGCCTGCACCTGTTCTCTGAGCTCTGACCTGTTCCCCAAAAGGTCTCGCCCACCGCAGGCTCCCCTGGGCACATCACAGTGACATG